CGTTCAATCCCCGACCGTCTAAGTGGTTGGGCACCGTTAATTCCTATCCCCCCGTCCCATCCCCAAATCCTTATCCTGACCCCCTTCCCAGGGCTATATAGTCGTAATGGCTTGGCGCTTTCCTCTGAAAACTCCCTCACTCAACCCCTAGTTTCCACTAGTTTTGACGAATTACATATAAGATCTATGAACCTAGCAAAGGGCTAGATTCACGAAAGCACTTACGCAAACACTTACGAACCTGTACATCTTTTCTTAATCTTTGGCGGCTTTGTTTCCAATTACTAAACAGTTAATGAGCTCCGGAGCACCAGGAGGCTGTTTATAACAATAACAAAAGTTGAATGGGAAGTTTTCATGCTTGTAAACTGTTTAATAAATGTAACCAAAGCCGTGAAAGATTGAGGAAAGATGTACACGTTCGTAAGTGCTTGCGTAAGTGCTTTCGTGAATCTGGCCAAAGGTCTCCTCTGTACTGTTGAAGCGCAGGAAAAAAATTACGACCAAAGATAATGCACAGAAGACACTACTTGTGTTATGTGTTTCTATGAGCAAAAAGAGAGAGAGAGAAAACGAAGGTGAACTAAGCCATACAAATGGAGCTGAAACAGCTGGCAGATATATAGCCTGATAGCCTAGTGCGTGTCATCCGGTGCTGTCAGATAGGCTACCAGCTGCAGCTGTGTTGGCCGGGGGGGGGGAGGGTTATATAAGCCAAGAGCAGCAAGTAACAGGTTACTGGGGCGTCACGCCGACCTCTCTCGGCACTACAATGGTGCCACAGCTGGCCCGCTGTGCCAGTGCCAGGGTAATAGGACGCGCACTACAGTGTTAACATTGAGTTCAGTAGAGCCCTGACAGGAAGCACAGTAGAGGAGCAAGAGGGACCACCACTACACAGGAGCAAGAGGGACCACCACTACACAGGAGCAGGAGGGACCACCACTACACAGGAGCAAGAGGGGACCACCACTACACAGGAGCAAGAGGGACCACCACTACACAGGAGCAAGAGGGACCACCACTACACAGGAGCAAGAGGGGACCACCACTACACAGGAGCAAGAGGGGACCACCACTACACAGGAGCAAGAGGGGACCACCACTACACAGGAGCAAGAGGGACCACCACTACACAGGAGCAAGAGGGACCACCACTACACAGGAGCAAGAGGGGACCACCACTACACAGGAGCAAGAGGGGCCACCACTACACAGGAGCAAGAGGGGCCACCACTACACAGGAGCAAGAGGGGACCACCACTACACAGGAGCAAGAGGGGACCACCACTACACAGGAGCAAGAGGGGCCACCACTACACAGGAGCAAGAGGGGACCACCACTACACAGGAGCAAGAGGGGACCACCACTACACAGGAGCAGGAGGGACCACCACTACACAGGAGCAAGAGGGACCACCACTACACAGGAGCAGGAGGGACCACCACTACACAGGAGCAGGAGAGGGACCACCACTACACAGGAGCAGGAGAGGGACCACCACTACACAGGAGCAAGAGGGACCACCACTACACAGGAGCAAGAGGGACCACCACTACACAGGACCGAGAGGGACACCACTACACAGGAGCAAGAGGGACCACCACTACACAGGACCGAGAGGGACCACCACTACACAGGAGCAGGAGGGACCACCACTACACAGGAGCAAGAGGGACCACCACTACACAGGAGCAGGAGAGGGACCACCACTACACAGGAGCAGGAGAGGGACCACCACTACACAGGAGCAGGAGAGGGACCACCACTACACAGGAACAAGAGGGACCACCACTACACAGGAGCAAGAGGGGACAGGACAGTAACAGGTAAACATGTACACAGGAAGCGGAAGTTGTGGTCATAAGAGTGAGGGATGAGTTTTACGACCTCACACTAGCGTGTGTTGGACTCATTTTCTCCGTGTTCAACGGTGTTCACCTGTGGGGACGTTTATAGTCCCGTTACCCCCTTGTTCAACGGTGGGACGGCGATGCAACGGCCGCTCCGTTTTCTATGCATCGGCCTCGATAGGTTAGGGTAGGGTGCTGGTGCTCGTACGTTTCCGGTTAGGTCAAATGGTTGCATTTTGTAGGGAGTGGCAGACAGAGTGAACGAGCTGAGGCTATGCCAAATAACTGCCTCTTGACCAAAAAAAAAATGGAGAAGGCGAATTAGCTTGTTTGCTGAGTTCCGGCTAGCCGGCATGGCTCGCGTCTGGGGATAGGTTAGTGGTTAGGGATGGTGGTATTGCCGCGCAACCTGTCCTCCTAATAGAACGTCGCATTTCGACGTATACGCTACCTAAGGCCAAAAAATTGCCGTACTGGAAAATGGTAGCGGCTCGCGAAATTGGCATTCTGTCCCGTTTTCTGTTTTGGGTCCTCTGGTAAGTTAGGATAAGGGCACTTTAGTACGGCAGTTTGTCGGCGTTGGAGGACGTTAGGAGGACGGGCTGCACCGCTACACGTGTTGAGGGCCCTCTCCCCATCCCCCTCTGCCCCTCACTCGTCTTCCTGGAACGTGTGAGTTTTCTAAACAATTGGGTACAGGGAAAGACGTCTCGTGACTTCCTGTTAGCAGGCCGAGAGCCTTCCCTTCCCATAGCTCATGGTAAGTTATGTCCTACAAGAGTTTAACCAATCGCTTTCCAATCAGGTCCCTGATTCCTGCTGGGTAACGGGAGTAAATATTTAAGGACTGGTTCTCGGTCAATCCTCCTCACAGGGATTGAATCCTATGACGCAAGTTAATGTGACACCTGAAGTCATTTAATGACACACATGCATGTGATACCTAAATCAGTTTCATCTTCTGACACAAAACCATTTTTTATTCTCACCACTTACATCTATCTGAAAAGTGGACACTTGCAACCTGGGTTTAGGACGAGTAAATAGTTCACTAATCACCTGGTTACACTCTTCAAACTTTGAATATATAAAATTCAAGGGCTGGGCTGTGTGTGTGTGTGTGTGTGTGTGTGTGTACTCACCTATTTGTACTCACCTATTTGTGCTTGCGGGGGTTGAGCTTTGGCTCTTTGGTCCCGCCTCTCAACTGTCAATCAACTGGTGTACAGATTCCTGAGCCTACTGGGCTCTATCATATCTACATTTAAAACTGTGTATGGAGTCAGCCTCCACCACATCACTGCCTAATGCATTCCATCCGTTAACTACTCTGACACTGAAAAAGTTCCTTCTAACGTCTCTGTGGCTCATGTGAGTACTCAGTTTCCACCTGTGTCCCCTTGTTCGCGTCCCACCAGTGTTGAATAGTTTATCCTTGTTTACCCGGTCGATTCCTCTGAGGATTTTGTAGGTTGTGATCATGTCTCCCCTTACTCTTCTGTCTTCCAGTGTCGTAAGGTGCATTTCCCGCAGCCTTTCCTCGTAACTCATGCCTCTTAGTTCTGGGACTAGTCTAGTGGCATACCTTTGGACTTTTTCCAGCTTCGTCTTGTGCTTGACAAGGTACGGGCTCCATGCTGGGGCCACATACTCCAGGATTGGTCTTACATATGTGGTGTGTGTGTGTGTGTGTGTGTGTGTGTGTGTGTGTGTGTGTGTGTGTGTGTGTGTGTGTGTGTGTGTGTTGGGATGAGGTCTGGGCTGTGTGGCTGTGTGTGTGTGTGCTGGGATGAGGGCTGGGCTGTGTGTGTGTGCTGGGATGAGGTCTGGGCTTCGTTACGTGGTCACACATGAGGAGGCTGGTGGCGGAACCACTCCAAACTGTACATGGAGTGTGAGTGACAACCTTCCAGGGAGCTATTACCAGCCACCACCACTACCACCACCTTTCCCACCATGTCACATTACCTCCAACACTACAGAATGGTGAGCCTCTCTGTGTGTCGTCAGGTCAAGGAGAAGCAAACTTGGGAACCTTCCCGCGGTCACAGGTGATCCACACATCATTGTATTATGTTTGGATTGTACAAGTTATACAAGTTATACAGAATTATACAAGTAACACAGTTATACAAGTTATACAGAGTTATACAAGTTACACTTCATGACAGAAACTACCACACCCCATCACACGACCCTCATTCTCAGCTTACTGTCATGAGGAATGCGAACTGTCAGTATTTACTATTTGTACCTGCAGAATCGAGCTATTAGCTCTTGGACCCCGCCTCTCTAACCAATCTATGTTCCTCTATGTCTACTACATTTATTTTCTAACACACACACATCCCCAGGAAGCAGCCCGTAGCAGCTGTGTTTAACTCCCAGGTACCTATTCACTCCTAGGTGAATAGGAGCATCCAGGTGAAAGAAACTTTACCTATTTGTTTATGCCTCAGCCGGGAATCGAACCCGAGCCCTTAGGACTACGACCCCCGAGCGCTATTCACTCAGCCGCGAGGCACCATAAAGTATTCACCGCATAAAGTATAATAAAACGCCCATATATCCTGTGTGAGAGAGAGAGAGAGAGAGAGAGAGAGAGAGAGAGAGAGAGAGAGAGAGAGCGAACGAGAGAGAGAGCTAACTTTCTCCATCAAGCGACGCGAAGCAATAAACTGTCATCGACCACTATTAGCGTTTGATCACCCGGCGCCCAAACTACACCAGCGAAGATTGTCAAGCTCTCACGCCCATCAGGTGAACCACCACCACCAACAATCGCCGCCTGTGTGGCGCCGAATTGTCTCGGATCCCTCTCTCAATCCCACCTCACCCATGCCAACTAAACCCCCGCCCTTCCTGTCACTCCTCCCACCATCCCCTTCCCTTGCGTTCCATATCCCTTCATCCCACCTAATTTCATTCCTACATTTCTCCGAAATACATTCATTTCTCTCCAGTAAACGTTGTTTCCATTATCAGTCTTCGTATATTACCACACTTCTATATTTTACCGTCCCATCTTCCCTTCCACCCGTCTCTTGTCACCTCTCTCTCAGCCCTCCCAGATATTCCTTGCGTCTCGTGACTCCCGAGTCCCAGTACTGGGCGTGTCTAATGATATTGTTTTCCTCCCCGGGCAGAGACGAACGACGCCTTCGTGGTGATAGCGTTGGGGAAGGACAAGTTCCAGACCTCCATCAAGGAGAAGGCTACCAGCTCTGTCGAGTGGCATGAGGAGTGTGAACTGTGAGTATCTCAGTGTCTGTCTCTGTCTTTCTGTCTGTCTCTCTGTCTCTCTCTCTCTGTCTCTCTCTCTCTGTCTCTCTCTCTCTGTCTCTCTCTCTCTGTCTCTCTCTCTCTGTCTCTCTCTCTCTGTCTCTCTCTCTCTGTCTCTCTCTCTCTGTCTCTCTCTCTCTCTCTCTCTCTCTCTCTGTCTCTCTCTCTCTGTCTCTCTCTCTCTGTCTCTCTCTCTCTGTCTCTCTCTCTCTGTCTCTGTCTCTCTCTCTCTGTCTCTCTCTCTCTGTCTTTCTTTCTTTCTTTCTTTTACCGCCTTTGTGCTCTTGTAGCAGGAGTTGGGTGGAGGGAGCGGCAGTTTCTTTGTTTAACCACTTTACTTAACACGTTTCTGCTGCGTTTTGGAAGGTCTGGAAAGGTGTGGGGAATAAAGGGTTGTTTTATGTAAGAAGGGCAAAGGTATATTACACACTGGAGGAGTGAAAGCTTGGGGAAGGGGTGGGGGGAGGATAGTGTCAACTGCTTCAGATTTGACTTGTCTAGCAGGAAGGGGAAGATTAAGACGGCGGAGTGTAACAATGGCACAATGAAACATGGTAGCGCGAGAAAGGGAGATATGCAGGCAGGCACGAGCCAGGCAGAGTCAGAATTTGATGACTGAGGAATGCAACAGAAGTCTAAACTTGACAGGTACACCAGGCTTGAGTATCCTCCAGTGTTGCCAGGCTGGTGTATGACTGAAGTCAGTGAGAGAATAAGAGGATTGAACCTAAAATTCCACGCAGGAACGCACACCACGTGCGTCTGGTTCAGTGACTGTGGAGAGACTGGTGCCAGGAAGCACAAGAAGAGGTCGCCAGACATTTGGAGCAGGTTAAAAGGTCCTGAAGCTGCAGGCGAGGAGTCACGATAACGTGGCTGAAGTATGGTGACCAATCCACACACTAGAAAATGAAGGGACGACGACGTTTCGGTCCGTCCTCGACCATTCTCAAGTGGATTGTGACCGTTCCTGAAGATGTTGTACTGGGAGTGCCGGGGACCGCAAGGCCATAGTCTACATTGTGATTAGCACCGACGGACGATGGTTTACACATTTATTCACCTAAATTATACCTTACGAAACCAGAGCCAGGATTCATCAAGCGATTTTGTTTTTCATAACGGTACCTACTGTCGACGCTTTGGTAAGTTACTCATGACCCAATCACCGTTTTCTATTTGCATAACAAATAACCCATTCCAGTAACGAAGGATTCTGAGAAAACCCTGTGGACCGCAGTACCGCATTTATTGCCCAAGATGCAGAAAAAAACACATGTGAAAAATCCACAATCCTTCTACTTTGCTCTGATGAAGGCGAATTAGCCGAAAACGCGTTAAGCATTCTCTATTTTTCACATGTGGGTTTTCTGCATACTTGGATCAGTGTTTTTGTGATCATTGTTGTATTATCCAAGATATTTAGGTTCTGGTGGGGGGGAGGGGTAGGAGACCCGGGGGCGTATGTACTACTCATGTATTCACCTAGTTGTGTGTGTGGAGGTTCAGCTTAGGCTCTTTGGTCCCGCCTCTCAACTGTTAATCAACTGGAGGAGTGATGACTTCGTGTGCGTGGGTGTTCGTGCACCCCCCCCCTTTCCCCCCCCCCCACGGAATTCGTATTCTGGGGGGAACTCTGGGGCCCGGGAATGTCACTGTTATCAGGCAAGATGTTAGCGATAAAAAGCACTCATAGTGAAGACTTTGTCACCCGGGCAGCGCCAGGGACCTTATTGAGAACCGTGGGGAAGATTCACGAAGCCGTTACGCAAGTACTTACGAACGTGTACATCTTTCCTCAATCTTTGACGGCTTTGGTTACATTTATTAAACAGTTTACAAGCATGAAAACTCCCCAATCAACTGTTGTTATGGTTATAAACAGCCTCCTGGTGCTTCGGAGCTCATTAACTGTTTAATAATTGTAAACAAAGCGGTCAGAGATTGAGAAAAGATGGAAAAGGTTCGTAAGTACTTGCGTAACTGCTTCGTGAATCTGGCCCCGTGGGTCAATAATTCTGTGCACACACAAACACACCTCTGGGATCCCATAAAAGTGTCACATAATTGTCTCAAGGGATGGAAAGTGTGTCGTTGGGTGCCGGGTTGCCGAGGTGGGTTGACGCGGTTTATTATTATTATTATTATTATTATTATTTATTATTTTCTACCACAGACGTGGCCACACATTTACGATGCTAACCAACATATATACATTTTCTTCTGTCCTCCATGGACAAGGTGAGAGATCTGTTAAACATAGTTCAGGGATTTATTGAACAATTAACCACAGAAGGTGATTGTAGTGCTTCTAAAATGCTAATCTAACCTACTGGCACAAATACATAGATACATAGAGTTACGTCTGCCGGTTGACGCGGTGTTAAGCTGCGAGTCTCTAGGGGTCACGAGTCTACTTCACACATGATGATTTTAAGTAGCGGTTTAAGGGGATGGGGAGTGGGTGACAGCACAATTTGATACCGTGACTGGTTTAGGGTTTAAGCTAAGCGCCATTTCTCCAGTTAAGCCATTATAATGTTGACCAGACCACACACTAGAAAGTGAAGGGACGACGACGTTTCCTGAACGAAAAAACTGAAACGAAAATTTATTGAGCTTAACAGTTAACGTCATGTCTGTTTTTAGAAGTCTTAACTCGCTTGCCTCACAGCTGCATTCGTGTTACTTTTGTGTTTTTGAAATCTATTAAAAGGAGATAGTTTAAATTATAAAAAAATGCAATTTAGGCCGTTAAATGACCAAATTACAGTATCCTTTGTGCGGGCCGCAGGTGTGCTTATGAAGGGCCAGATGTTTGACACACCTGCTAGTGTACCAAAAACCTGTCCTCTTTGCCATGGCGGCTTTGTTTACATTTATTAAACAGTCTATGAGCTCAGGAGCACAACGAGGTTGTTTATAACAATAACCACCTCGGGTTGTGAAGTTTCCAAGCTCGTAGACTGTTTAATAAATATAAAGAAAGCTGCCAAAGATTCAAGAAAGATGTACAGGTTTCGTAAAGTTTGATGGAATCTTGGTTCTGGTTGCGACGTCCGCTACACCGCTTTTACGTACTGCTCGGTAATGATAGATCTAACGACTGTAGTATATAATGAGCACAGGTGTTGAGAGAAGCGCAGGCACATTACTCATAGCTTGGTCAATATACACCTGTAGTCAGTGACATGAGGCAATATACACCTTAGTAGTATACAGTTTTATACATAGTAAACATGCGTACTTGTATTCATACACCAATACATGTAAGAGGACAAAATACATAACCACAATTTTAGAGTTTATGACCTCTAATTTAATGCATTGTGTAATTTAATAACAGAAATGTAGGACCAGAGTCCCTCATTGGAAGAAGAATATTTGATTTAGAAGTCCTGTTGATAAGAACTGATTCACTGAAAACCCATTATGTAATTCAAATTGAAAACGCATTGTGTAATAATTCGCAAACTGCAACTAACTCATTGTGTTAAGACACTTTGGGGTTTACAGTGATGTTAGATGTGAATGGACTCTCCCTGTATTTTGTTAACTATGTAATTAGTTCATCAGCGCTGTATCTTGGCTAAAAAATAACTTTTAGGCTTCAGTTCTGAGGTCTATTATGTATCTGTCATTTTGTGCCGTCATAGGCATTGTAGGGGGAGGGTTAAGTGACATTGTGGGTTGGAGGGATGGGGCATTTTGGGTCGGTATTTTAGGGTGGAGTAGCGTGACCTGTATCCTATTGTTATCTATTCTAATTTTCCGCAACAGCACCTGTCATCACCACCTCTATGGCTCATTTGCATTTGTAATTACTCCTTTGTATTCAATAATTCGTATATCATTCTAGAGATACACGGGCCAATCGGCTAGACTATACAAGAGACAAGAATTACAAATCACTTTTATTTTTCGTTTTACAAAGAAATCTGGATACTGATGTCAGAATCCGGATTGGTGAGCGGTGATGTCACGAGGCGGATTCCAGCTGAGAGGGCGGCTCGTAATGTTTACATTCTCTCACCCGACCTTCCTTCAATTCAATTTCTTTCTTTATTATGCACCCCATACCCCATTGTATCGTCGGCGTTCAGTAGGTTTATCTCTTGTTCATCCCTGGCCTTAATAGTACGGAAGATGATGCCTACTAAGCCTCCAACAATTAAAAGTTTATTGATAATTTGGGTTTTAAACATATAATCGGTTTAAAATATGCGGCAGATGTTAATTATAGCACAAATATAATTTTAAGTTAATAATAGAGAGAGAAATCACAATAGATGATTGAACATACACTAATAATAATAATATTTGGCTGCGTTGCATAGCCTAGACGGGCGTGACGTCATCAGGGCAAAATTTGATCGACCTTCAGATATGGCATGCGAGGTACCATAGCGCTATTTTTACCATTCATATATATAGCAGGTTCAACAGAATTACATTATATATTTATTTAAAGTTGACTGTTAGCGTTTGTTTGTGTTTTTTGTTTTTTGCTAGGTTTTGCTGTGAAGGAGCCAGGCTCGCGTGGTTGTGTTGCGGCAAAGGTGAAAGTGTGTGTTGTGGGCGGAATGTGTTGTGGGGTTGAGTGTGTGAGGGGGGGGGGCAATTATACGATCAGTGTGAGCTATATGTAGACTTAACACATACTTGCATGTTACTCAGTTACAGCCCCCCGTTCCTGTGCCAGGTTAAGTCCACTACGGGCTCACCATAGCCCGTTCTACTTGGAACTTTTTGTTCCCAGTAGCTGAATCTTAAACAACAATAACATACTTGCATGCACACGTCATATACACATAGCCTTGCACGTACATGCGCACACAGCATGCACATATATATATATACACGTAACATCCACGTGTGCACATCATCCACGTGTGCACATCTCACACACACACACACACACACACACACACACACACACACACACACACACACACACAGCCCAGAGGCCCACATCAAAAGAATATCATCAGCGGCATATGCTAGACTGGCCAACATAAGAACTGCCTTCAGAAACTTGTGTAAGGATTCTTTCAGAACCCTGTATACCACTTATGTAAGACCAATCCTGGAGTATGCAGCTCCAGCCTGGAGTCCATACCTAGTTAAACACAAGACAAAGTTAGAGAATATTCAGCGGTATGCCACCAGGCTCGTCCCAGAACTGAGAGGATTGAGCTACGAGGAAAGGCTAAAGGAGCTGAACCTCACATCCCTGGAAAACAGAAGAGTAAGGGGAGACATGATAACCACCTACACAATTCTCAGGGGAATTGACAGGGTGGCCAAAGACAAACTCTTCAGCACGGGTGGGACACGAACAAGGGGACACAGGTGGAAACTTAGTACCCAGATGAGCCACAGAGACGTTAGAAAGAATTTTTTCAGTGTCAGAGTAGTTAATAAATGGAATGCACTAGGAAGTGATGTGGTGGAGGCTGACTCCATACACAGTTTCAAATGTAGATATGATAGAGCCCAGTAGGCTCAGGAATCTGTACACCAGTTGATTGACAGTTGAGAGGCGGGACCAAAGAGCCAAAGCTCAACCCCCGCAAGCACAATTAGGTGAGTACAATTAGGCGAGTACACACACACACACACACACACACACACACACGAGTGAATGGTCCAACAAATGGCTGTTGAAGTTCAACCCGAGTAAATGCAAAGTAAGGAAACTAGGCAGTGGAAATAGGAGGCCAAACACAGGATACAGAATAGGAGATGAAGTACTTAATGAAACGAACAGAGAGAAAGATCTAGGAGTTGATATCACACCAAACCTGTCTCCTGAAGCCCACATAAAAAGAATAACGTCTGCGGCATATGCGAGGCTGGCTAACATCAGAACAGCGTTCAGGAACCTGTGTAAGGAATCATTCAGAATCTTGTACACCACATATGTAAGACCAATCCTGGAGTATGCGGCACCAGCATGGAGCCCGTACCTTGTCAAGCATAAGACGAAGCTGGAAACAGTCCAAAGGTATGCCACTAGACTAGTCCCAGAACTAAGAGGCATGAGTTACGAGGAAAGGCTGCGGGAAATACACCTTACGACACTGGAAGACAGAAGAGTAAGGGGAGACATGATCACAACCTACAAAATCCTCAGAGAAATCGACCGGGTAAATAAGGATAAACTATTCAACACTGGTGGAACGCGAACAAGGGGACACAGGTGGAAACTGAGTACCCACATGAGCCACAGAGACGTTAGAAGGAACTTTTTCAGTGTCAGAGTAGTTAACGGATGGAATTCACTAGGCAGTGATGTGGTGGAGGCTGACTCCATACACAGTTTTAAATGTAGATATGATAGAGCCCAGTAGGCTCAGGAATCTGTACACCAGTTGATTGACAGTTGAGAGGCGGGACCAAAGAGCCAAAGCTCAACCCCCCGCAAGCACAAATAGGCGAGTACAAATAGATGAGTACACACACACACACGAGAGAGAGCCTGTTCTCAGGGTAAAGTGATTAGAACGGGACACCATCCCCCCCCCCCCCTGTAACCCCCTGGATAGTTATCTAGCTATTCAACCCATCCGCCTGTTTAGTTAGAAATTATTGTAACGATGAACATCATAGTACATATATGACGTAATGGACAAGTATAAAGTAAAAATCGTTACAGAAAATGGTTTTGTTTTTGTAGCAAAGACAAGCTGAACTAACCTTCCTTGGCCTAATACACGCTATCTGAGGCTTAACATACGTTATCTGAGGCCTAATACTGTATAGTAGGAGCGGATATAGTTATATATCCGCTCCTATAGTTATAACTTGGAGCGGCCCGCAGGCTCACATATCCACCACAGCCCGGTTGGTCCGGCACTTCTTGAAGAAAACTAACTAGTTTTTCTCTTGAAGATGTCCAATTATGGTTTCAGTAATAGTCGACATGTGAACTGGCCAGTTCTAGTGTGTGTGGTTTGGTCAACAGTTCACAAGTAGTTTTAAACATCTTTTTGTCCTAAACAGAGCAGACAGTATTCCCAAGTTATGACTTTCTTGTATTATAAATTGTTGGTTTAAAATATGTCTTTACTATTTTCTTTGAAACGGTGTGAAGAATTTAGGTTTCTGTAAATGGAATTCATGGGGATATTAAATAGTTTTTGAATTTCATGCTTCATATGTTCGATGATATTAATAAACCGTATTAACGTAACGAAACCTACGCTAACCTAAACTTGCCATGACCTCAACCTAACCATGGATAGGGAGTAGATAGGAATTACATTATTATTATTATTATTATTATAGTATGATACTAATTGTAATTACACTAATTACATAGTGGTTTTAAAGTAACCACATCCAGGGTACCTCCCCCTGAGGATATGATTCTTGATTTAGCAGAATTTACCTGAGGGTTTCTAGTGGCCTCGACAGAGACTGGAAGCCAATGGCTTGTCAAGGGTAGTGTTTTGCATGTCAGTGTTAACATATAATGCAAAGCTCCCCTCTGCCCCTTAGGTAATTACACTTAGGTAAATTACCTAAGGTGCAAAGGGGCGGGAAGAGTGAAAAACGCCAATCAAAGTGGGTAGTCTATGATCGCAAAATGGCTACACCATGAGACCAAAAGAGCTCAGAACGTGGTTAACAGTAGAGACACCGCAGGTATTTGGGCTGGGGGAAGAATAATGACGGGTGGCACCGCTACCTGTCCCACGCCTCGCGCTCCTGGACAGGGAGGTCACTGTCCGCGCTGCTGTGGCTGCGATTTTGGTGGCTGGAATTATGGTGGTGTGGCTGCGATTTTGGTGGCGGAGCGCTGGTATGGCTGGGATTATGGTGGTGTGGCTGCGATTTTGGTGGTGGAGCGCTGGTATGGCTGGGATTATGGTGGTGTGGCTGCGATTTTGGTGGCTGGGATTATGGTGGTGTGGCTGAGATTTTGGTGGTGTGGCTGAGATTTTGGTGGTGTGGCTGCGATTTTGGTGGTGGAGCGCTGGTGTGGCTGGGATTATGGTGGTGTGACGGGGGGGGGGGTGGTGGTCGTGTGGTGGCAGCAGTGACAGTTTTTCTTCACATCCCTGTGGTTTATCTGCATGTCTGGATTACATGCAAGTATTTTCTTTATGCTGTGGCTCAACCTAAATGTTGTGTGCGTGTGTTTCATCGATTCCTCTAGTATTTTGTATGACTGGATCATGTCTCCTCCATTTGTCTTTTCTTTCGGTTTTTGAAAGTTTTCGGTAGCTCAGTACTACTATATCTGGGACAATGTTCTTAACATTTGTTCTTTCTCAATCTTTGCTATGTACTTTTATGTGGGACTGTCCATGTTAGTGCTGTGTAGGCTGCTCTGGTAGTAATCGGATAAATGCAATTAGCATTTTAGCGCATTTAGCATTTTTAGCATTTAGCATGAATAAAGCATTTTGAATGCATCCATATTTAGGTCCTAGAAGGTTGTTCTGATGTTTGCTACCTTAGCATATGCTGCTGATGTTATGTTAATGTGTTCCTTCAGATATAGATTTGGTGATGTATCTAAGATTTTTTTTCGTAGACCCCTGATAGATTTCCCTCTTTTATTATGTATTGCTCCTATTTGGATTGAAGTTCAGTAGCCATTTACCTGGTTATGCCTCCAGTTCTTGTTTGTCCTTATTTTCTTCATCTTTGCATAATAAGCAAACAAGAGATGTAAAATGAGTATTTCATCATCTGTATTGTTTGTGTGTGCAAGTAATAGCAAGAGTCCCAGCACCGACCTTCTTGGGACTACACTTTGAATGTTCTGTCATACCTATATACTTATCTTGAGGTTATCTTGAGGTGATTTTGGGGCTTTTTAGTGTCCCCGCGGCCCGGTCCTTGACCAGGCCTCCACCCCCAGGAAGCAGCCTGTGACAGCTGACTAACACCCAGGTACCTATTTTACTGCTAGGTAACAGGGGCATAGGGTAAAAGAAACTCTGCCCATTGTTTCTCACCGGCGCCTGGGATCGAACCCGGGACCACAAGATCACAAGTCCAGTGTGCTGTCCGCTCGGCCGACCGGCTCCCCGATATACTGTGGATATCTTCTTGCTGTTTCTTAGTTTCTTATTTAACAGGTGGTTCTTCACCCAATTATATACTCAAGTTGACTTGTACAGGAGCCTCTTATGTAGGATTATGTCAAATGCTTTCTGACAATCTAATCATGATCTGCCCACCATTTTTTTTTCTTTTTAAGATTATTTTATAAAAATCTCCAATAGTTTTTCAAGCATGATTTCCTCTCCCCAACGCATGTTGATGTCGTTATGTAAAGTTAATTCACCCTTAATCTCTTCCATGATTTTGCACCTAATTATTCTCTTATCACTTTGGATGATACTTGTAAATCTTATCACAGCTACTTAGCTAGTTAAACAATTTTAATTTGATATGAAATAACTGAGTACAGTAAGTGCATGATAATTTGTTAATATTTCTGTATAGTAGTGGAAGACAAATAATATTATTAGTAAATGTAATAATAATAATAATAATAATAAGAATAAAATCCTCTTTTATTGTATTTCAGACCAATTCCAGCTCACGGAAATACAGCTAATGTTAACCTGACAGTATATCATCGCAATGCTCTTGGACTTGATGAGTTTTTGGGCCAGATTCAGTTCCCCCTGTCAGAATTTGATGTGTATGAGAGACCTAGAAATAGGTATGTGAACATTGTTTTTGTTAATTGAGTACAACACGTACATCTGACATGAAATGTATATTTAGTCATCACTACTTCAGAAATTCAAGTACACTGTATAGGTACTGTAGTTATTTTGTGCACTTTGAAGATAATAATATTCATTACCATATTTCTTGTGTATGGAGTCTTTTTGTTTTAAATATTTAATTCTTAGTTTCATCCTGCTTAATCAATGGGTCTCCAGTTTGCTTGGGAAGTTGAGAGAAAAAAAAGAGTATAAATAATTATTAAATAAAATCCTATATCCCAGTTCAGTACAGTACTGTATTGTATTGAATAATATTCTAAACATAATGATAATGGTGTTCAGTTGCTTACATTGATAATGGAAGAGTATGTAATCCACATCGATCAGAAATGAGCATTTCACTGTTGCATTTGTAAAGTATGGTTAAAACTAGCAATTGTGAACTAATTTTGGTTCCTATCCAGATGGCATCGTCTCAAGGGCAAGCCTGAGAAGGACCGCAAAAAAGGCGAGAAAGAAAGGGGCGAGCTGGAGATAAAAGTGGCATTCACCGTTAAATCTGGATCACTTTTAGATGTCTCCAAGAAAGAGAAAAATAAATCTATCACATCACTTAAGAATTTAGGTAATAAATTTCATGGATTAACTAATCAGATTTATGTTTTAATTGACTGAATTATATTGTTGAATATTTTATTTCTGATAAAGATTCAAACAGTTGATTTTACAGGCAGTTTCATGGATTTTATAATTTGCTTATTATAATATGTATAATAATGTGTGATTAATTTATGAGGAATCTAACTCATAGAACCATTAAATATTTGTTTTCAGGTGGCAGTTTGATGAGCTTGGGAAGCAAAGAAAAGGCAAATTTGAAGAGTTTTGCAAAATCTGTCAGTAAGTAATCTATATCTGTACAAATGAATGTCTGTGTATCTGGTTTGTGCATCAGAAGTAGGAGGCTACATGCTTGGGTCTGGTGGCCTTGCCCAACTTTCACATACGAAACTTGTGGGAAGTGTAGGCCAGTTGGGGTTTACCCAGGTGCCATGCTTTAAAAAGTATTGGCATCATAAATGCCTCCCTCTGATTGTCATGCCTGAAATAAAATCTTGGAGCTGTGAAAGCCACAGATTTTTATCCTTATTCCAGCTGTTTTCCCAGGTGAGAAGGGGAAGAGACGAGGAGAAGGAAAGGGTGGGAAGAGGGGGGGAGAGGGAAGAAAAGAGGGATGTTAGGGGAGAGGAGAAATGTAGAGAGGGGAAGAGAAGTGAGAGAGGGGAGAGGGAGATCAGGAAAGAGTGTGGAGAGGTGTGAGAGTGGAAGATAGAGAGGGAAAGATGAGAAGAGGGGATGTTGGTGGAGAATGGTGGAAAGGTGAGAGGGGGAAGAGAGAGAGAGAGTGGGGAGGGAGAAAAAACCTGGGCACCACCAGTCACTCCATCTAGTAGTTAATTACTGTATGAGGGTCCTGTGGCACAGTGAGTGCTGTTGAATTACAGCCGAGAGGTCCCGTGTTCAATTCCCGCAGAAGGACAAGCATTTGGGGAATGTTTTCTTTCATCTGAAAGGCCTACTCACTTTGCGGTAAATACGCACCCAAGAGTAAGGCACCTGTGTGGGAAAGGTTAGTAGACCTAGGGGGGGAACCTCGATAATCCTAACAGGCTTCCTGTCCCCAACTTGAGGAAACCTTAAGGTGAAATGAGAATAGGCAGGGGTAACTTGTGGCTTTACTGCCCTAGTATACTGTTACTCTCCAAATGCATTCATAATACTTTATTGTATTTTGTGATTAGTCCAGCTAATTTGCTAAAAGATAAGTTTTCAACCATTCACATAAATGTCTCTCATTCATGAATATTGACCTCAGTTGGTCAACAGAGTGAACTTTTTTCTTTAGTGTCAGAGTACTGTAGTTAACAAATGGAATGGAGTAGGCAGTGATGTCGTGGAAGTAGACTTCATACACAGTTTCAGATGTTGATATGATAGAGTACAATAGGCCTAGGAATCTGTACACTAGTTGAGTGATGGTTGAGAAGCGGGACCAAAGAGCTGAAGCTCAACCCCCATAAGCACAACTGGGCGAGTATAATTAGGCAAGTACTGTACAGTCTTTTTATATCCGTTTACTGCCCCTTAGAATATCACTTTACTCTCATGGCTGAACTATAACTTGGTATAATTCAAGAATTAGTGAGAGTGCATGCATGCACAACCCTTCCTCTCCACCCAACTCCCTCCATCCATCCCCCCCCATCTATCCCCCCATCTATTATCCACGACTCATGTGTCTGTTGTTAATCGTCCTGGCCGAGATTTGTATAGTGAGCCAAATAAATGCTCCACAAAATTCAAAGCTATTATCTAAAAGAGCTAAATAGTGTATCTGTAATTTGGATTATTTCATCTAATAATACAAAATTGGTAGAGTAAGTCTGACTCGCTAGTTAGTTTCTCTAGTACCATCTGTTCTGGCATCATACATAATAGGCTAGGCACTGTACTTTACATGAAACTTAATAACATTTTAACTTGTTATTACCAGTTTTAATATAATTTTCAGGTCACAAAATAGACAAAATTGCACACAAACCTGGTAAAAAGAAAGGTAGAAAAGGAAGCCGTGACAGTCAAGGCTTTCCTCAAGAACTTATGCAGTCCCGTCAACGTGCTGGTGATGCCGATCCTGGCGTAATTTCGGACAGTGAAGACGACTTTGGGGTAAGTTAAACAGTTCATGAAGTCAATACTGTATTTTGTGTTTCATACAAAGATCATTGAACAAATGATCTCAAAAGAACGTGATGCAGCTGTGAGAAAAAAGACAAAAGATGGGATTGAACCCACATCCCTGATCTCCTGAGGCACATGCATGTGTCAGAGGAGTTTAGGGACGAGGGTTCAATCTTATCGTACGTCTTCAATATATTCTGAAAAAGATCATTGCTTAATAGACTATTGATCACAAATTTTAAATGATACTTACACCAATCTTAATATTCTCTTATGTTGTATTGAAATTTATGTTCAGATATGCCAGAAACATATATATAGATGCAAATGAATACAAAAGATCTAATGTGTGCATAGTAATGTATCATTATATTTTATCATAAGAATTAGTCAATTATAGCTTTGTTTTATTATAATTTTCAGTTTGACGAAGAAGTAACTGTGAATACAAGGTCTAGTAGTCCCTATAGCACTGTGTCAAGGGGCTCGTCAGTTCTGCAAGAGGTTCATGGTATGTGTTGCCATCTATTCTACCAATATGAGTACCACAATAAGTTGTGAATTTTAGTTGTGAATAAGAATAATAGAATAAGTTGTGAACTGTTAATAACTGGTTTAAATATTCAGTACACCAGCAGTTCTGTGTTTCTTTACTGAATCTTCAAGACTACAACATGATTAGCAGCTATGAACATCTAAATCACGTTATTAGAAGTTGTCTCACACAATGCAGCTGCCTTACAATCCAATGATCTGGGTTCGATACCCGGGCAGAACATATTTGAAAAACATTGCCTTCATCAAATGCCTTTGTACACCTAGCAGTAAATAGGTACCTGGGAGTTAGGCCTTTGTCCACCTAGCAGTAAATAGGTACTACTGTACCTAGAAAGGCTGGTCGAGGATCGGGAATGTTGAGCCCCAAAATCATCGCAAGATAACCGCAAGGTAGGCAGTAGTTGTTGGTTGCATGCTTGGGAAGGTCTGGTATTGGCTTATGAGAATGTGAATAAGCCTAACAGGCTTCCTGTCCCTGAGACTAGGAAACCAAATGTGTGCGTGTGTATTTATTTTATCTATAGCCAGTACACCATTCTTGTTCAGTGACAGGGTGGCAGATCCAGTCTCCTTCAAGCATTAATATTCTTTTATATTACAGTATTTCTGTTTTGCAGAGGATGATGGTTTACACTTGAATGGCACTAACCATCTTTCTGACTCCCGAGGACCACCAAAGCCAGCTCGTCTGGGAGGTAAGTCGATACATACTGTTTATTCATACACTATTTATAATCCTGTATATGTCTTTTATTATGTATTAATTTATGCTTTGTGTTTCAACATTTGTGCAACTTTTTGCTACACTCCTTAAAAGTATTCTGTATTGTCTTGGTCTGCATTGCTTTGTCAATAAATATTTCATGGATGAGAGAACATATTCTAATAGGGATTTCAAGATAGGATTTCTGTTCATTGAAATGATGGCTTCATTAACATTTAATTAAAAATATACATAAGCATGACACTAAACAAACAGAAGCTGACCACTTGTCTGAGTATTTTGTTCTGTAAGCTGTATAGATACAAAATGTTTTATAATACAGTACTGCATTATGTATGATATATAGTTATTGATATACTGTAATATCAAGAAAATGTGTTCATGTTATCTGATGTGATTTGATATAGAATGATAGTGGTTTTCAAATTATTATAATCAATTCCAAAAACTTGAGATATTTCTTAGGATATTAAACAAACATGGATATGAATAAGCAAACCAGTGAATTTTGTTTATATATGAATTTGTTATATTATGAAGAAAGTAATATATTATAAAAATAAAACCTGGAACCCATTTAAAAGACTCAGAACAATGTTACATTCATCATGCATTGAAAATTATAAATGGATATATATATATTATTGAAGTTTGGTCATGCATTTATATATAATTCTTGATATTCTACTTCTGTTCATATATTGTAGTATATTGTGGAGCTTTTGCTCGTGAAGCCTCCATGTTGGTGAGTGACGACATTCCATAACTTCAGGCATATTAGGAATGAAGACTTTTTAAATGTAATGACTAGCATACATCAGACATATGAGGACTTGTTGATTGTAGTGCAAAATGCAAGTTTCTGTGAAGCCCGTAGGTTGGATTTACCTTTGCATGTTAAAAAGAGAAAAAGGGGCTGCAGTGCCTAAATGAGAAATCTTTGTCTTTTGAGGTAACTGAATACGTAGATTTCATTGTAAATAGTGTGATGGCACTGTGGGGGGTTTGATTACGTTACTGTGAACATATTGTTTGGGTTGTCTTGTGGTAGCTGCTTTGCTTGTCACATCTGCACACAGTTTGGTTTGTTGATCACGCACCTGTGAATGTGTACATATGCACCTTTTAGACGTATTTCTGGAAGTTTGGCCACAATATTAACCCGCAGCTTCTGAGTAATGAACATTGGTGTCTTGTATGAGTAGAGGGTTAGTTGCGCTTTTTGTATGTCTTGAAGGGCTTGTGTAGGTTGTCTGTTAAAATACTGTAACTTGTTTTGTAGAGTTTTATTTGATTGACCATAATCTGTCAAATGTACTGTACTGTAATTGGTGGAGATGGTCCAGGGCCATCTCCACCAATTACATGGTCCAGGACGGACCGAAACGTCATCTTTCCTTCACTTTCTGGTGTGTGGTTTGGTCAGCCTACTGTAATTGGTGTAATAATATTGTTCAATGTTAATGATCAATATCGATGAATAGTAAAAGTAATAAATATTCATGTAACCAAATACAGTACTGTATAGTATTTAATTTGATTAATGTAAGTTCTAAAGTAAGGTTTTTTTATTTGTTCTTTAGAATTTACTTAGACAAATTGTACATGAAAATTTGTAAGGAAGTCTGGTTGGACTCAGATATTCATAAAAAGGTACCAGATTTGAGGATCTTGACTGGCTGTGCTACGTTATACACGATACATGAGCCCGACCCCTGTGGCAACAGTATCTATGCCTGCATTTATATTCTTTGATACAATGACTGCATTACCATTTGCTGGATTATCATACACACTGCCAATTTACTCCATAAAAATAACAAAGCATCACATAATGTTTACAAGGAGCCTCGGGAAATTCTAAGCAGGGAGAAGGGGATCTTAAGCTTATAACTCAGATAAGCAGTGATGCTTAGAGAAACTTGCTCTTGCAATTCTGTACTACCATACGTTCTAAAGAATGGTTCTCTTATTTCACACTCAACTTTTGTATATGATCATCTTTAAGTTTTTGATGGTACATGTGATATATCATAAAGTTCCTTTTTGTTACTTAAAGCCATCCTTATACTTTTTTTCACTGTCTAAAATGTCTTTAGGTTGTACTGGATTGTTCTTGTTGATTTGTCTCTCGCTCTCTCTCTCTCTCTCTCTCTCTCTTTTTTTTTTTTTTTTTTAGTTATTTATTTATTCTCCATGACACCTTCAAAATTCCTTATTTTGTTTCAAACACAGTCCAACCTTGATTTGGCGAATCTCCGGTAAGGACACACACTTTTCATGCCGGATTTACTCACCCGTTTTGACGAACTCTGGTTCTTCGAAATGGGGGATGTGTGGATTTGCTTAGGATGTTGGGATGGTTTACGGACTGGAAATATTTCCCATCGTGTAGCTGCCGACCTGCAACTTTGTAGCACAAGTGCCGTTACTGTACAGCATATGCATGATTTGTGTCTTGGATTCGGGGTGCTCATGCTTCCACGTCTAACAGCCATGTGTAACAATACAATATTTTGCCTTTGGGTCTGCTGTACATATGATTACGTAGGTGATTATTCGTGTCCCTTTAATTTGAAATGTGCTGGGAGAAACGTGACTGCACTAGCATGTATATACCCAAGTGTAGTTGCGCTTATGGTGTCCTGTCTTTCCAGAACTCTGTCACATAATGCTTTGGAACTACTGTGTCCTTCTTCATGGGCATCTTCATAAAATGCCAAAGTATATGGCAACTGTACTGTTATAAGGATTTATGATGTGATCTTTAATATTGAATAATGGTTAATCCTTAAGCTATGACTTCATCAGAGTGCTTTTCCTCTCTTTATTTAAAAACAATTAGTTTGGTCACATGAAGTACATCAGTAAAAGCCAGGAAAATATGCCAAAGCTGGGACATGAAGCTATAGGAAATGGTCCTTTCTGAGCCTGTTCCTCAGCTGCTCTCCAAAGTAAGCAGCTTATTGAGGTCTAGAGAGGCACAGTCTAGGCTCTATTGATCTGCAGATGAAAAGTCAAAATAACGTGTACTTGGGTTAAGTGAAACGTCGTCGTCTCTTCAATTTCTAGTGTGTGGTTTGGTCAACATTTCTCTATTGATCTGATCACCTACCATGACCAGTACTATTCCAAATACTGTAGCCTGGCTACTTAGTTGGGGAATGAAGACAGGAAAAAAATAACTCGAGCTACCACCAAGAGACCTGCATCTTGTCATACAGAAGAATGAACATCACACTCCCCAAACCTCCATCAAATTGACAAACATCACTTTGTCAGTTCTGACTCGAGTCCAAGTGTGACTCCAGATCATATTTGTATGTACCAGGGTTAATTGCATGTGTATAGGCCTCTGCCATGGCAGCCATGTTTTACTACACAGTACTCGGGTTAATTGCATGTTTACATTTTATTTTAATTACTGGCAAAATTATTTTGAATATTTCTGCTACTACAGTACAGTATATGGAATTGGCTCCTCTCTTCATCCAAGAATGTGTTTCAAGATGCTCTGTGAAAATCAATCCTTTTGAAAAGCTATGCTCAATGACTCTACTGCATTAAGACAGTACTTCTCTGGATTTATGCTTTTATAAAATTCAGTATTATCATTATTTGAGCGATACATTATAAATAATTTTTTATTTGATGTATTAGTTTTTAATAATAAAACAGAGAATAACAAGACTCTGTTATTGTTGTTTTGAATTGCCACAAACTTGATGCAGATCCAAACAATACAGTAATTACATATATTTTAGCATATGGGGTTTTTACCCTGTGCGTTCACACTGCTGAAGATAATGCTGTATGGGAGAGGGAGTTGACTGTATGCTGTACTTAATTGCATTTTGGAATACTGTAATGCAAAAATCTATAGAAATAAAATAAGGAAACTTGTCAATATTGGATTCAACTCTTTTCACATCGTACACAAGACAGTTTGCCAACTGATTTTACAATCTACCTAATTCAGCCAAGCCTAACACAGCCTAACCTAATAGATTCTAACCTAACAATAAACTGTGTTTCATTTTGACAATCAGGAAGCGAGCTTTGTCGAATTGTCTTGTATACGATTTGACCATACCTCAAACTTAGATCTTAACTGTTCATGAACATTGTTTGTAAACTGCGATGGTCTTAACATTTCTCATAGATTTTAAAGTGTGACAGTACTGCATTATATTTATGTTGTAGGCATTACAAATATTCAATGTAATACAATCAACAATTAATTTAAGACTAGCTACAAATTGAGCATCAGGATTCCTGGAACTTTAATTTGATCCGGCAGATTAATTTAGTAGTTATTGTTATGCATATTTTGGTTCCTTTATTGATTTAGTGTTGATGAATGTGGAAATAATTGAAATTGAAATTAGGTTTGTGAAAAGGAAGCATGTAGTTGTAACATGTAAGGAAGCATGTAGTTGTAACATGTAGTAATATGGTAGTCACTAAAATATTATGCGAGACTGTTGTGGAAGATTTTAGTGTACAGAATCGCCATTTTGTCCCTTGGTATATGGGTTAGGTACGGGGTATATACGTGATGTGGGAGCTATCAAAATAGGCATCTTTAATTTTCCTTTTCTAATATATTTACACTGTATTAGAACTTTCAAATTGCATGAACTCAGAATGGCAGTACAGTAGCTTCAAATTCATTGACATTCATATTATGTATATCTGAATTTTATTCTTATTGTGCAGCATTTATACATGAACATTGACAAAATTGGTTTCTGATGTATATACAGTAGAGGTTTATTTTGTAGTATTTGTTTACTAGTAGCTTTAGTTTATCCGTTCTTAGGAGACCATAAAGTGGTGGTGATGATAACGTCAGTATATGTTGCCTGTAGGTGTAGGTAGTGCTATGTGACTTGCATTTATTGATTATTTTTCTTAGATGAAAAATCTGTTGTATATATTCCACACCTTGCATGCAATCTTCATAGTTATCCAGTGATGTAGGAGTTTATATTGATCACTGTAATTGTTAATCTCAATGGGTCAAAAACATAAGGTGTTACTCAGAAAGAAGAATTGATCATAATTTATTCCATTTAAACCTGGATATAGATTGAAGGGTCCTTATTGACTTGCAGGGAGTGTTTTGGAAGTGCCCTCAATAGCCCTGGAGTCCCCCTCTCCAACACCTTCCCCCGAGCCCATCCTACACGCTCAGTCCGAAGAGTCCACAACACCGCCGCCCCTTTCTCCTAACCCTCCGCTTACCTTTCCAAACCTTACTCCTATTAACCTACGTACTCACAGTGATACCCCTTCATTGCAAGATAGTGCTTTTTCTGACTCGGCCACGACATTGTCACTTTCTAGTAGTGTGATGACAAAGGATAGTAATTCTTTGGTCAGTTTAGAGTCTTCATTCCATGAACCAGTATCACTAACCAAGAAAGTTTTCCATGAGTCCATTGATGTGCAGAAAACTCCCACTCCTGAACTATCACCCTCATACAAGAAAGTTTTCACAGAATCACCACCACCTGTTGTGGACCTTCCCAATCATGAGCCATCATCCCAACGCAGGAAAGTTTTTCACGATCCTGCTGCTGTACAGGATACTCCCACTCCTGAGCCATCACCCTCATACAAGAACGTTTTCCCAGAATCACCACCTGCTGTTGTGGACCTTCCCACTTATGAGCCATCAACACCATACAAGAAAGTTTTCACTGAATCACCACCTACTGTTGTGGACCTTCCCAATTATGAATCATCACCCCCACGCACAAAGATCTCTCGTGATCCTGCTGCTGTACAAGATACTCCCATTTCTAAACCATCACCTGCATACAAGAAAGTTTTCACTGAATCACCTCCTGCTGTTGTGGACCTTCCCAATCATGAGCCATCTCCCCAACGCACAAAAGTTTTTCATGATCCTGCTGCTGTACAGGGCCCTCCCACTCCTGAGCCATTATCCCTATACAAGAAAGTTTTCACTGAATCACCACCTGCTGTTGTGAACCTTCCCAATCATGAGCCATCACCCCAACGGAGGAAAGTTTTCCTTGAACCTTCTGCTATGCAGGACCCTCCCACTCCTGAGCCATCACCCCAACGCAGGAAAGGTTTTCATGAGCCTGTGGTTGTGCAGGACCCTCCCAATCCTGAGCCATCATCCCAACGCAGGAAAGGTTTCCATGAGCCTGTGGTTGTGCAGGACCCTCCCAATCCTGAGCCATCACCCCAACGTAGGAAAGGTTTCCATGAGCCTGTGGTTGTGCAGGACCCTCCCAATCCTGAACCATCACCCCAACGCAGGAAAGGTTTCCATGAGCCTGTGGTTGTGCAGGACCCTCCCAATCCTGAGCCATCACCCCAACGCAGGAAAGGTTTTCATGAGCCTGTGGTTGTGCAGGACCCTCCCAATCCTGAGCCATCACCCCAACGCAGGAAAGGTTTTCATGAGCCTGTGGTTGTGCAGGACCCTCCCATTCCTGAGCCATCACCCCAACGCAGGAAAGGTTTTCGTGAGCCTGCAGTCATGAAGGACCCTCCAACTCCTGAGCCATCACCCCTAAAGAGGAAAGTTTTAAATGAATCTCCTGCTGCTGCTGTGCAGGACCCTTCCTTACATAAGCCATCACCTTTACAGAAGGCAGTTTTTCCAGAGTCTGTTATGGTAGAAAATCCTCCTTCTCCTGTCCAGCCTTTAAAATATTCCAGATCCCATAGTGATACTACTACTACTACTATGCCATCATTAGCTTCTAATAAAAACGATGAGTCACTTGTGGTTCTCTCCCCCAAAAGTCGGTCACTTAGTATTTCATCATCTCCAAAAGTCTTGCATAGGTCAGTCTTTACCTCCTCTCCCATCAAGGAATCAAACACCCAGAAAAGATCTGCTTTAGAAACTTTAGCTTTTTCTTCTACAAAGATATCTCTTCTGGAGACTGATCCTAGCACCCAGTTTCCTGCCACTCCTACATATAAGAGAAGTAACTCTGAATTAACACCATCTGCACCAAACACTCCGAGCAGTCACAACGGAATCGATGTGTCTGCTCCATCTACCCCAACAACTAGTGCTTCTGTATATAGCTTTGGATCTGATTATGCTACACCATCTACCCCTGCCACTCCTAAGGATAGTAGCTCTAATCCATCCCCCAGCCCAACTTCCCGCACTTCTCGGGGGACCCCTGGGCTGGCTGAGCGGCCCAGTGCTGCTGTTGTGCGTTCTGGTTCCCTCCATGAGAAGCCCACCACCCAGCCTGTCATTGATGAGTGGGAAAAGAAACTGTATGGCAGGAATGCTAGTGAGTAGGATTGATTATTTGATTTTGGCTTTAATAGTAACTAAACCATATCAGTTACATTTACAAAATCCTTTAGCAGTAATAAATGTGAGATATATCTAGAAAGCTCTTATATACTGGGATAGTAGGTAAATGCAACTCATAGTTATTCATTATTTTTGTAATTAGCAATGTGATAGTGAGCTTGCCTTATTTCTTTGTGCTTTTTAAACATTTTAATTGGTTATATTCACTGGTGCATGAGAACAATATTTTATTGCTAGATTTGATTTTATCTTTTACACATAATAATAACGTTACTTTTCTGGAGAGCGTGAAAGAGCTGGAAAAGTGCTATGCGAACTTGCATGTGTGTGTGTACGCACATTGGCATTTGTGCACTCTAGCATGTGTGCGCACACAACCTAGTTATGGTTGTGGAATGTAGCTCCAACTCCTAGGCCAAGCCTCTTAACGATTATTGTGACTGGTGTGATGCTTCTCTAACCTCGTAGGTTTTGAAACTTTTTGTGCATTTGACTCTGTGGAGTTAGCTTCTACAGTTTACCTAGTTTATTCCACACACTATCCTCATAATAAAAGATATTTCTTCTTACATTTCTGGCTCATTTAGGTGTTTAGTTTCAATCTGGGGCCCACATCTTGGACCCTTGTCGGTTTCTCTGTATCATAGGTTTTCCAGCTTATCCTCCTAGTTTGGCTCTTTTTAGTTTAGGAAGTATCATGGTGGTTGGCAAATCTGGAATCTGTTTAGCTTTCTCTTGGCCTTAGTAAGGTGCAGGTTTCATAATGGCACTGCATATGACAGTGTTTCTAAATTTGCCTGCTTTCCATACACAGCTGAAGTTAAGTTATTTATAGAAGCTTCCAGTGATAGGTTCAGTGTGTGTGTGATGTCCGCCACTATGTTCTTTTCACCTGTTATTTCCCTCTCTGATGATGTGGTACTGCCAGCATCCTTTATCCTGTTACTATCTTAATTTTCTTGCATTTGTAAGGGTCAAATACGAGTTTGTACTTAAGCCATTCCAGCAGATCTCTTCACTTGTCTTTCCTTCCTAGTTATCCAGGAATGAATAAAGTAATTCTCATTGCTCTGACAACTTACATGAACAGTCACATGAAATATTTAATTTGCTGTGGTAGGTCGTTTACCTGTAAACAAGAACAGCATGGGTTTCAGTACTGAACCTTGAGATACTCTGTTATTTTTGTTCATCCTGACATCTTTCATGTTATGGGACAATCATGTTTCTGGCAGTCTAAGAATATGTAAGTAACCCACTCTACCCTTACCTGCCTTATCCAATATTCTGTGTAATTAGTGAGGCAGGATTTCCCATCTCTGAACCCATGTTGTTGATCTGGGACAAATTTATGCTTTTCATGTGATGTATTATTACTTTTCCCAGTACCTTCTACATTATCTTGTAAGGTATTTATGTCAGAGATACTGGTCTGTAGGTATGTTTCCTGTCTAATTTTATGTGTATTTGTACCAAATTGGCTGTTTTTAAGGGTAGATTATTCCCTGTCTCCAGAAGTGCATTGTAAATCTTTGTTAGTGGCTTACTCAGTATGGTACATCATCCTCTTCTGATCTTCCTTTAGTATCCATGGCAAGATCTTGTCCAGTCACATTGCCCTTCCCATGTCTACATCTTTCAGATGCTTCTTCACCTCTTCAGTCGTATGATGGGCTCCAGTGTGTGCTTACATAAATGTTAGGTCTTCCCTATAAGTGGCTGTAAGTGGGGGGGTGAGGTCTAGGACTTCATGCCCCACCTCTAAGCATTTAGTACCTGACAAGAAGGCACCAAGACCTGTGTTGTATTTGTTCTTGAAGTTATAGATAAAAAGTGACTTTTAACAACTTCTTTTTATAAAGCATTCCAATTGCTGCCCAAACCTACAGGATGCTTGCATTGCTTCATATCTTTTAAGTTTCAATTGTATAATCAACTTCACCAGTGTCCTCTTGAGTGTTGGGGGTTGGGTCTCCATTTTCCCAGTTCTAACAATTGTTCTTGTTCAGCTGTAAACGTCTCCTGGTATATTTTGTCGAGTTCTTAACAAACTTCCTTATAATTTCTCATGATCAGTCACTGGGCAAATAATAGTTCAGATTAGGGCCCAGAAGCTGGAGCACAATCCATGCAAACACAGGCAAGTACACTTGAATTTTTCATTTATAAAAGACAGGCTTTTATTTATCTCTTTTTTTTTTATAATTTTTCACATGAATTTTCACCAATGAGTTTTTATTTGCCATTAATTTGACTATTTACATGGCATAAATAGGACTAGCATGAATTCTCTTTTTTCAAGCAAAAGTTATATAATGTTCCTATACATAACTACTCAAGTAGTCCTGTTTGATTACTAAAAGGCAACTTTGACACTTCATTAAATATGGTATCGCATGTTCTTGTTAGTGTGTATTGCTAATCATTATGCTGGGTTTTCTAAGTGCTATAATTCTTTTCTCTGGGATGCATGTCTAGATGCCTTGTTGATTTTAAGTGTTTAAAATAACATTAACTGTTCCAAATGCATGAGAGTGAAGCTGTTAAATGAACCTCTATAATTAATGCGGTGGTACTAAATGGTATATAATGCTAATGGCTTTGGATTGTGTTTCAGACAGCAAGATAATAAACGCAGGTAAAGTTTTGACTGCAAGCGATGAGGGTCTTTAGCTTCTAGTTTAATGGTTTGGTAGCAAGTGTTTCTTGGCCGTGAAGTATGTATACAATGTCTCATAACAGAGTTGATGCTATTCCTTTTGCATGGGCTTCCTTGCTTTATTTGCATGACAAATCACTTTTGATACACATTTACATTAGGATCTCAATAGTGGCTTTTTAGTGTTAAATTCTCATTCATCATTTATTACCTTTTTATTGAAATCATATGCTGATAGATTCGTAATAAGCTGTTAAAAGTTATTAAATAAATATATTTGTTTTGTATACTCAGTACAATATAGATAAATTTGCTCAAGTTTGATTACACACGGAAGATGCGATATATAATTGGATAAACAAGGACTAATGTATAGGCAGATGGCTAATGAGGAGAAGAGGCAAGCAGATATAAAAGTAGATATAGGTGGAATAGCAGAAAGTTCTGTAGGTACTGTTCTTTTGGTTGTACAGTATAGATAGAGCAATTATTGATATTATATACAAGATTGCATTATATGTTATGCAATTGGAGGAGGCTTTGCAACATTCTTAGGTCAGTATTTAGGTTTAGTACTATGTTGCACCACATTGTATTCATAACAAAATTATTTTATTTGTGTTTATAGTTTGCCTTCTATCTTTTCCTTCTACAGAGAGCCACTGTTCACAGCCCCCTCCTACCCACCATAATATTTGCACACTTCCACAGATATTCCCATCAAAACACTATTCCCTGATAATTTCCCCTTTTCCCTCCAAACATAATTCCTCATATAATCCTTATACCTTATTTTCTCTCATGCTATCACTTATTCTCTTCCTCATTTATCTTCTGATGAAATAAATGTTCCTCATTATCTCTCACTTGGTACATTTTCTTCTTAAATTTCAGTATTTCATATATCATAGTCTCATAAGTTGTATCCATTTGTGGCTTGATATGCTTGATCTGCTTCTGCTTTACTCGCCATTCTTGTTATGAAGACTAACTTGGACTAATTACATATCATAAGGTGGGCTACTCAATAGAAACCTGAGTAACCTACCTTATAAGGTATACTTTACCTTACCTTATTGATAAAACTAATGACTCCTTTCTCACCACTAATCATATTTTTCATCTTCTCATAACTGATCTTCATGGGCCATAAAAGTCCTTAACATTATCTTCCATCATAGGCATCAGTAATTACCTAAGTGTAGTTACAGGATGAGAGCTATGCTCGTGGTGTCCCGTCTTTCTCAGTACTCTGTCGTATAATGCTTTGAAACTACTGACGGTCTTGGCCTCCACTTCCTTCTCGCTTAACTTGTTCCAACCATCTACCACTCTGTTCACTCAGTACTGTATATGAATACTGTAGTAACATGGCAGTCATTTTTTTTATTATTATTAATGCCTAGTAAGACAATTAAGGCTTTCAGAATTTTTCCAATATACTAAAAGATTGCCAGAGGTCCCTCCTATCAAATGACATTCACATAAAATCTTTAGATTTTAGAACTTAAAGAAGTTCTAAAGATTAAACTTAATCTTTAGAACTTTTGAATATTACGCGACACATTTAGTCTTCCACAAACAATAGGCACAATGGTCCCTATCGCTTGAGGGCAACAGGAGTAATTTGAGGGTTAAAGTGTGATTATTGTCGTACTTTGATCCTCGGGGTAATGCACTTATCATCATAAGTTGATCCTTCAGGTTGATTTTAGTTATCATCCAGTTTTTATACAAATGATATAAATATGGTTTTAATACATGTATGTGAATGTAATGTAATTAACATAGACCCATGACAAAAATTCTATTGTCTTACTTGCTTACTATCTATGAAGTTATCCTGTACCACAAGCAATCCGATTATCATTACTGTGTCATACTTTACTGTCATACTTCGGAGTTTCTGACTGGTGTTTGAACCTATTTCTGGATGACATTACCATACAGAATAGGAGCAAAGGAGTGGGTTGCAAGACATTACCTTTGAGCTGTGCCAAGAGCAGATTTACATGCAGTAAAGGTGTACTGTATATATTACATTGTAGGGCTGTATAACTACTCGATCACCCTTTATCACTTTGTGTAAATAAATAATTTCACACATTTTATAAACTGAAGTGAAACAGCAAACACACAATTACTCTTAACATTATTAAAGATCCCTCCCCTTACTTGGTGTGTGTGTCAGCAGTTATTGCATCTTAACAGTTTACGAACCAAATTACCTCACACCAATCTTCCAATGTGCACGAAATGCCCCAAAAAAACAAATGCTGTATCGCATTTGTGGTTTTTTTGCAATTCCTCACTTTTTCCATGCAAATATATAATTTTATAAGACCAAATTAGCTTCGTGTGTGTGTGTGTGTGTGTGTGTGTGTGTGTGGGGAGGGGGGTGGGACATCCATGCACAAATTCTTCATAATTGCAGTGGTTGGAGATTATTTCATCACTCTGGCCATTATAATTTCCCATAGTTGGAGATAGGAAATCTGTTACTCTTTTAAACTTATTGAGGTCTCCCTTTGGTTAACAACTGGCTTTCCTGTGCCCAACAACTGAGACTGGTCAGTATGGGGACAGTCTCGTTTCTTGAAGGTCAGCCTCAATGGTACAAGTGGTTGGGCGCTATTCCTTGCCTTTCATCTTATCTCAAACAATTGCCCTCATATCCCTCTCAGTTGCTGTACTGAATAGTCGTACTGGCTTGGCACTATCTCCTTAGAATTATCTTACCTTATTGGCCTTCCCCTCAGGTTGCAACCCACAACAGTTGCCTGACTCCTAGGTACCTGTTTACTTCTAGGTAAACAGAGACATCATGCAAAAGGAAAAATGCCCAAGTGCTTCTGTCCTTCTTGGGGATTGAACCCAGGAACCTTCACCTTCAAAATTTGTATTCGTCTACCCAAACCCCAAACCCCAAACCACTTACCCTCCACTTCTGCTATAATTCAATACTAACATCACTATTACTGTCACCATTTACCATTACCACTGCAACCACTATTACCATAACTATCACAATTGATATGATCACCTCCATATTCACTCTTCCTCCCATTATAGAAGTCTACCCATCACACCAGCCAAAACATTCGTAACACTTATTACAAGATAGAAAAAAAAGGAGGATAAGGCTTTGGCACCTTTGCAGATGCAGGTGCCAAAAATATTATTTACAAATGGGTAATATGGAAGGAAATGGGAATAATCCCATTGTCTTTCACAGCAATGGTTGCAGTAATGTAAAAATATGTAGGCAGAATGCATTGTGTTATGTTACCACTGTTCTTTTAATTATTATACTGTACATCACTCAGTTTTGCGTGACACTTGACATGATTTATATGCAAAATTTTTTTATGTATATTACTAAATAAGTATAGGCAGCCCACTATTGTGCAGTGTTAGAATATGGAGATTTGGAGTTGTGACTTTCCTAAATAGGCACAACCTTTGAACAAGAAGTTGGTATTGTGGGCAGCTCATTAAACATAGTTAATACAAAACTTAATGGTCCATTTTCAGTTTAAATCTGGCATGGTTTTTGTTCAGTTGGTTAGTTTTCTTAAAATATCTGTAATTTCAAGATGCAGATAATAACAGATACAGGAAGTCTGTAAGACTTATCGAGGTCTCCCTAGGTCAACTACTGACTTTCCCTAGGATGCAACTCACAACAGTTGCCTGATTCTTTGGTCCCTATTTACTGCTAGGTGAACAGAAGCATCAGGGGAAAGGAAATGTACCCATCCATTTCTATCCCGCCTGGGGATTAATCCCGAGAGCGTTGATTGTGCGTGGAGGATATAGGCCACTGTCCCACAGGACCCGTAATGGGGGACTGTAATTGTAATTGTAAATATGTCTGCTTTTTGCCTTTTAAATGTGGTTTTCTCTATTAGGCCTAATTTCTTAGAGTAGTACAGATTTAACAGTAGAGACGGGATGCTCAGGACTAGTTTGAGTTACTGTTTGTTACATGTAGTTTTAGTGTAACCTGCTTTAAAACAGTGGCAATGAAAGGAACTACCAGCAACTGTTGCATATTTTGGTAGCTGTATTCCAGATCACATAAAAGCTTAGTACTGGTATTTTGAAATTGTCTAAGTGATTAAACAGTTTTTGAAAGTCTACAGTAGTCGACTTTCAATTTTTCACCATATTTTAACACTTCTATACATTTAGTCAAAGTTTGAACTTAGTTCAAAGACCAAGTCACAACTACTTGGCTGAAACAAAACAACCCACATGCACAAGATATTTAATAAAATTGATTGAAACATCTTTCATTTCATAGCTGTTGGATGGGTTATACTTAGTGTATGTGACAAATGATACTCCTTCACTTTACCTTTCTTAAACCCCTCATAGTGTTTCTTTTAATACTGTAGTTGTTGAAGACCTTTGAGACCTCTGTTGAAGACCTCTAGCACTAACATGAGACAAGATTCCTTTCTAACACATTTTGCTATTGTTGACTATATATCTTGGGGCATAGAAATCCCATTCCATCATTAGTAATCTTTCCTTACTTATTTCTGTCAGTTATATCACTCTCATTTAATTTAAATCCTTTGTCCTTCAGCTTTTACTTGTTCAGATGCTTTTGGCATGTACGGAAAACTAGCAGCTTCATTACAGTATTCCTGTTTGCCACAAAACTCTTGCATTCCCAAACTCCTGCTGTTGCCATTAATGTGGACATCTTACCAATATAGATAACGAAACAGTCCTGCTTTAATTATGTGTTACTGAATTACACTTGTATAATATTTTCTGATGGGTGGATCAGTGCTACCAAACATAGATGTACTGTATGTATATTGTGTAAAATCAGAAAGATTAAGTAGAGCTGTAAATACAGTATCCATCCTTTTTTAACTTTTGAGCAAGGATGGATATCCTGAGGGATTACAGTAATGGTTTGTCACCTGATGTTAATTTATACATTTTTCAATATGACTGAAAATGTAACTTATTTTTTGCAGTGGTTGGAAGCATGGAAAATGTGAATCGTAGTGATAGTCGGTCGTCTCTCAGCACGTCCCTCTCCAGCAGCACTCAGGATGTTACACGTGCAGACGAACATGGATCTAGGTATTTGAAACTAACTTGTTATCGAGTGTGAAATTACCTTTTAGTATCAAGTAGCAAAAATAAGAATTGGATTTTGAGAATAATTAAAGAGTTGATGGAAATGGGAGACTTGAAGTTGTTCAGAAGATAAGTTTTGGATATGGGTTTACTTTGTTGGGGACAGAAAGCCTTTAACCCTTAAATGGCTCAGCATTTTAGAATCTTGTATCCAGGTCACATTGAGGAAAAGTATTGAAACCCATAAGGGCCAATCACATTACAGTATTCATGAATTATACTATAATGAATACATATATTACGGCTTGCTGTGTTGGTTTGTTCCTTGTGGTATGTACTGTACTGGTAAAGAGCGGAGATAAACAACTATGTCGTCTTGGAGTTTTATTGTAGAAACGCACAGATCAAACCTGGCTGCCTGTCCCCCGACACACTGAATTATTATTATTATTATTATTATTACAGTGTATGGAGATTTGTACACAGGAGGAAATCGCAGATAGTGATGGAGCAGTTTTAAGGTTAAGTGGCTCGACAAGGTTCCTCTAGTTAAAGCTGTTTATTTTGTCACCCAGCCAGTTAATAGCCACTAAGTGGTGCTTAACCTGACTGAGTGTGGTACACATCATCTACAGCAGCACATCTATGTTGCCTTAACATTAATGAAGTGTGAGTGGGAAACAATATAAAATAATTATCAGTTTGTCAGTGACAGGTAGCCTGTGTATGCCTGTCATTATATATATGTTAAGCTTATATTGAGGTCCTCCCATGGTTGAATTACTGACCCTCTCCAGGATGCAACTCCACAACAGTGGCCTTAAAACTGTTGGGTGAACTGAGGCATTCAGTGATAGGAAATGTGTGCACAACCATTTCTGTCCTGCCTGGGATTTGAACCCAAGATTCCCGAGTGAGAGTAAAAAATGAACCCAACTTTACCACCGAGACCCCTTAAACAATGATTGCCCATTTGATGCGAGATACATTAAAGTACAGTATTACAACTAAAGTTTGAATGCATTCCAAGGAGTTTTGACTTCCATTATATAGTTTATACTGTAACTTTGAAAGGGTCAAGGACGGATCGAAATGTCATCACTTTCTTTCCTTTTTGTATATGCGAGTTGAGTGTCTAGTATTAATTCCCTGTGAAACAACACATATAAGTTGCGTTTTGAAAATTATTAAACTTAATTTTAGAGTTTTGTAAATTAATTGTAAAGCAACCTACTTTTGAGAAATATACACACACACACATTACAAATTGTTGAAAATTAATTAAGACAAAAAGTAGACCATGTTGTAATAGTAACAAATTTTGCAATAAATATTCATGAACTATGTGAATTGGACAATGTACTGTATATGGACTCTATATGCATATACTCCATGTATATGGACAATGTATATGCTCAAGGTTACATTGTGAATACTTTTGCATTTAGTGTTGGCTTTCACATCCCACTATAAGACTGTATATTATATGTTTGGGTTTCTATCATATTACTGTACTAATGTGTGAAAAAAAGTGATCTTCTTATGTTTAAATGTTTAAACTATGGAAAAGTATGCTAATTATGGAATTAAAAAATGTGTCCTAAATTTATCGGCATTGAACATTGCAGGTTCCCAGAAATAAAGGCTTTACGGCTAGAGAAAAAGTCTCGGGAAGATGGCGACGAGGGAGATGGCAAGAAACGACGAGGCAAAGGGGCCGGGCTCAAGGCTAAGTTGTTTGGAAGTAAGTTGAATTGCTTCCTTTTTGTTGTAGTTTGAGTTTTAGAATTGGTAAGATATTTTGCTGAATCAAATGTTTGTACATTGTAGTTAAATCGTTTGCTGTCTGAATAATTAATTTCTTTAGACAGCCGAGAACGTATTGGTGAAGAAGATGGGAGGGTTGTGGAAGGAGGTAACGATCGGCTGCCACACCCACCAACACGTCAATCAAGACTACCTCAAGAAATACATGATAAATTTGCAGGAAAGTCTCGAGAGGTAAATTTTGACTTAAGAATTTGTATCTTTTTTTTTAAGTTGAAGAGCAGGCTAAGATACAATATATAAAAATCATTGTACAACATTTTCTAGTCACAATATATATTCACCTTGTATCCTCTCCAATGTCTCAACAACCAGACATAAGGCACTTTATTCCATAATTCATTTAATAATTGATATGCCATGTTCTCATCTTTCCCAAAGATCTTGTACCCTCTACTATGTTATCATATAACCTTTCAACTGAATCAAGGAATCATTCCTACGCAGGCCCCAAAAAGCCAAGACAAGTTTGTGTGCCTGTTTGGTATGTGAGACAATTGTATCAAGTTTGTGTGAGAGACGATTGTATCAAGTTTGTGTGTGAGAGGATTGAATCGAGATTGTATCAATTGTACTACACTTCAATTAATGCCTCTATAATATAATTCTTACACTGATAACTCCATTGTCAGTTTGCAGTAAGCACCCATTTTCACTATCCGTAATTTATGTTTACCACATAAAATGTCCTATCTCCTCTTTCTATATTTTATTTAAATATAGAATTTTCTCACATTCTTGCCACAATATCTTTCTTTAAACTTTCTATCTTTACTGAAACTTCCTCAATCATCACTTCATTTTTTTTTTTATAAGTGATGTATTGTTTTCTTTACATATAATTAATCGCATATAACTGGCTTAACTTAATATCCATAGGATCTAATGGAAATGATAGTGAACCTTCAATCAAGCCTAGAGAAAAGTGTACGCCACACACGAGATCTAGAAGACTACATTGATGGCCTCCTCCTGCGGGTGATGGAGACCACGCCCCAGCTTCTGCAAACCCCACTCACCAAGAACAAGAAAACGAAGTGTGTATATAATTGTTGTGCATGTTCAGAAAAATGATGGAGTTATTGTTCTCAAATGATGCAGCTTGATACTTTTTGAGTCAGATATTTTGTTTATACTGTATTGTACTAAGCCCTGAGCCTTCAAATGTCTATTTATCAATATAAATATTGATTTATATAATCAATATAGATAATATAAAAGTCTCTAGTGTATAGATAATATAGAAGATGTGGGATCACTTGCTTGTTTTGAGCATTGGTTAGACACACATGTGAATGAGTTTGGATCATATAAATAGGAGGTTGTATGGGTCAATAGGTCTGGCAGTTTCATATATTCTTATATTTTCCAAAACATGTGATTGTTAATTATATAATTATTGCAAGAAATCTGCCTTACATTTTATTTGTGGTACATTTTTTTTTTTTTACCTTTTCAGAGTGTTTGGTCCCCATTGAATGTATTAAAAATATTGAGTGAATGGAAGTGAAGCAGCCGTCCTGCACACTGTTCCTCAGTTGTTGTGGAACAAATGGTTGGCGTTCTCTCACTGGTCTACGCTTCTCCACATGGGCTTCCAGGCTTCGTATCAGCATGTCTGGTGAGAATTTGCGTGACAGTAATGTCAGTGATGTCAGGTCTTGTGGTGTGTTCTAGAGAACTTATATTATTGTGATTGTGAAATAGCACTGATAGTGAAAAACTTGTATATATAATATAGAAAATACAGATATACCAGTAGTGTACTATAATAGAAGAATGCTAAAACCCTAGATGTATTCATAACCATTTAATACAAATTTGATAAATATTAGCACAGTTGGTATACATTATCCACAAGACTATTATGATGATTAATCAGAAAATATATGTTATCATTCTAAGAGTGGTCTAGAAAGAGATAATATAAACTTCAGAATGTTAAGAGAAAAAAATAGATTCACTGGTATGATGTAATCTTTTAGTTTTGGGATTTGAAGTTTTGTTGTTAGTGATACCGTAGTACATGTACCGTGGTGTTTTGAGTCGAAGAAACTGCATTAATGGATGCAATACAGTAGTTTTCCTTTGACTACAACAAAAGCATTGCTAAAATGATGTAGATATGTTTTTTGGTACAAATGTTATATGGTAATTACTTTTTCAAAGTTTTTACATGTTTATTCCCACTTGGAAAGTGGGTAACGATATACACGAGGACGATAATAGCAGTAGTGTAAACTATGACATCAACATGATGTTGCCTACCCAGAGACATGTCAACTTGGGCAACCCACCTAACCTAGCAAGGATGATCCTCGTTAGTCCCAGGAAGGGTCAATTTTATGTTGCCTTTACTTTCACCAAAGTGCCAGAATTTTGGCACATGTTGATGGCATCAAAATGGCTGTGCATTATAAGTATGAGGACAGGATGATTTTACAATCAGTTTAGTAGACTTTTATTTGAAGGCATATTTTTGTTTTGTTTTTGTTTATCAGATTGCTGGCTGAATGACTATTGCATTTCCTTGTACAGTATTTGTGAAATAGCTATATATAAAGAGAGGCATATTAAGTTTTTTCTTTGTTTTAAGATATTACATGTTTGATTTTGTGTGATGTAATTTAATGTTTGGCAAGTTAAATGCAAATTAGGTAATAGGCAGACTAATATATTTGTAATTATGAAAAGATGCCAGTTATTATAACTGTGTATATTACTAAAGACGTGAGACCCATTGATATGAATGAGAGATTGAAATAAGTTTTTGTACACCATATGGTGTATAGCATATAAAAATTAACAGTTTATAAAGTATGTGAAATTTACAACAAATTTCTGGTTATTAAAGGATTAATCATCTTGGATTGTGTGGTTGAGGTGAGGAGAAAGTTCTATTAAAACATTAGTCTACGAAATGGGTGCAGTTTTATGTTGAAGCTTAACAGGGAGTACTGTGAATGCCTGTCTTGAGGTTATCTTTGGATGATTTTGGGGCTTAGCATCCCACACGGCCCGGTCCTCGACCAGGCCTCGTTTTTGTTACACATCCCCAGGAAGCAGCCTGTAGCAGCTGCCTAACTCCCAGGTACCTATTTATGGTTAGGTGAATAGGAGCACCAGGATGAAAGAAGCTCTGCCCATGTGTTTCCGCCTCTGCTGGTGATCGAACCCGGAACCTTAAGACTACGAATCCCGAGCGCTGTCCACTCGGCTGTCAGGCCCCATGCCTGTTTGAATGTAGGGAATAATTCTGGACTCATTCTAGTGCAACTCATATTTTTGTCACATCTGATAATGGGTATTTTTCCCAACATTTTTTTTTATTAGGGCAAAGAATAGAACATGCTGTTGTGCCTATTTTGTTACCAAATCACTTTTTTTACTTTAATTATCAAAAGTGACAAACTGTGTCTTAAGTTGATCAGCACCACAAATTTCCAATAACAGTGGGAATATTGTTATTGTCTGGATGACGTTCTATCCAGCTGAAACCAGATCACAATCCTTACATTGCTGCCAAGCTTCTGATGGAGGGGAGGGAGGGAGTTATCAGGGGAAAGTGCCAATTCATTAGGACTATATAGCACATCTTCTGATGGAGCAGGAATTCACTATAACTGGAAAACCTTTTAATTGTTGCCCCCTAATAATCATGTGTAAGGTGGAGTCACTAAAATGCCATGAAGATGAAGCCTCGGCACTAACAAAACATGGTTTTCCCATACAGATAACTTCTGCCATACAGACCTATTAACATTTTAGTGTTGTGCTCACTAGGCAGCATATTCAAAGTAGCATATACAAACATGTCCCATTTAGTGTCAAATAATTTACACTAATTAGATGTTCACTTAAAACCGACTTCAATACTAAACATTCCCTAACACTGGTATATTGACGTGATAGTCCTTCACAGGGTTAGCCAATATTGTTAGGTTACAGCTAATTTATATACACATGCATACAGCATATGCATACATGCTGTACATATGCAAATGTACATGGGCTATGAAGTTTTCAACGAGTCTTTCCCACTGTTCCTTAGTCGATCAGCTCTTGATAAAATCCTCAGTAAATTGGCTTCCTTTGACCGCTGATCTTGTCTTTCTGCTTCTGTTTTGGGGTTTTGGAGGATTTCAATAAAACTTTAATTTTCTGCAACAGTTCTGTTTGGCCATCCTGCTTTAGTGCTTTATTATGCATGTAATTACTTGTACAAAAATAGTTTGCTAGATATACTGCATAACTTTCTTGAATTTTTGGTTAGCATATTTATTAAGGTAACATAACATCAAACATAACAAAGGTATTTTGAAATTATACTGTACAGGTACTTTTATTAGAAAATTGATTTGGCTGAAAAAAAATTAAACAAATATTGAACCAAGGCTAATATGCAGCTAAAGCAGACAGGTTGATATAATAGTTTGTTCCAGTAGCACAGTAGTCTACATCCTTGGCTTAAACCAAGAGACCCAGGTTCAATCCCTGGTCGGTGTTTTCTTTCACCTGATGCCTCTGTTTGCATAACAATTTAATAGGTACCCAGGAGATACATTTGTGAGTTCCATCCCAGGAATGGTCAGTAGTTGACCCAAGGGGGACCTCTTATAATAAGTATAGGCTTCCTGTCCCCAACAACAGGAATTATTAATCACTCCAATCATTTAATGTGAGTGAATCAGGATGGCTCAGAGTCTTCTGCAGTCATTTGTACTATTGTGAAAGGGTATTTTTCTCAACAAAACAAATTCCAAACTCCCTAATTAAAGTGACTTACCTATGTAAACATTGGCACTATTTTAGCAGACTATCTGCATTATTAAAAAACTTGAACTACTAGTGAAGAAATTTATAAAATAAAACATTCTAAATAATAAAAAAATGTTTCCACAATGCTTTGGGGTTTTGTACTATGTACAGTACATTCATTTGCCGCAAGTTTTCTTAAAACATTAACATTTGTACTTGGTTCAATGTTGAGCTTTATGCCAGGCATTTTAGACTTTGAAAAAGTCATTTTATTTTTATAACGTGATAATTTTTTTTGTGTGTGTGTGTGTGTGTAATCTGGTATATCCACTGCTGCTTGTAGATGCTGAGGTTGTGACATGTCTTAATCTTCCTTACAGCTTGTGCCTTGTTTTGTGACATTTACAAACAATTTATACATGTACAATATCATGTTGAACAAATACCACCCTATTGTGAGTACATTATTTAGCTAATTCAAAACTTGCCTTTAGAAATTAATTAACTATGCAGATGATGAGTTGCAGTAACGTGCTGGCGGGTTGATAACCAACCTCACACGTCTGGAAATAAGAAGAAACGACGACGTTCCTTCATTTTCAGATTTATTAACTAATTTTCGACTGGACAAATGAATTCTTATTTAGCTTGTAATTAGAAAGTATATTTTTATATGCAAATATAAAATGACTAGCATTGTCTGTGTGTTAATATGTAAACACTGTTGCCAGCTTGGTGCATTGTTGTGATAACTTTTATTAACATTGGCATAAAAGTCTCTTGATATTAATAATAACCACCTAATTTTTTGATTAATCAAAATTCAGTCACCCAACCCTTTCATTTTCTTTGCTAAATACAATTTACTGTCTCACAAAACTGATTTCTTTAACATACAGTATACTCCTTTTCCTCTTTTAATTTTATCAGCAGTCATCAATGGTTGCAGAGAATGGATCACAATAATGTGGCTGAACCCAATTAACCCAACTCACTCACATTAAGGGAAAGTGACTATCAAATCGTGTGTATTTGAGTTTTCACTTCCATTATATATGAAGTATCCACATTATAAGGGTCCAGGATGGACTTAAACATATTCACTTTCCTTTCATAAATGCTGGTTGGGTTATTAATTCATCTATGGTTGTGATCAGCCATATATTAAGGAGTTTTGTGATCCTGTATATTATAGAGCGATTCATGATTGTGAAAACTGGGATCGGATTAAAAAGCTAGAGCAGTGCAGTTACCTCCTGTAGAAAGCTAGTGCAATGTAGCTACCTCCTGTGAACAAAATTAAGTCATTCATGATCTCTGGGCAATATGAGGATTACATTTTTGCTCTATTGTCAGTAACAAACATTCCTGCATTGTACTTAAGTCAATTTAAAGTATTTTAACCATTTGGTTGCACTAAGCAATAGCAGTCAATTTGGGAAAAAATGCCTTTGAAACCCCCCCCCCCCCCCCAAAAAAAAAAAAAATCATGGCCAGGTCCCTTGACCTGAAAATGCCAATGAACCAAAACCCAGTAAAAATGGTGCCAGTAGTTGGTGACTGAACTAAATATCACCACACGTGGCAGCGCCAAAAATCAGCAAATGGGCTTCTTTCAAACCCTTACTCACACATCAAACCTATTTTCATTATTTTATTTAAACAAGTAAGGTATTGAAGGTGAAGGAAAGACCCAATATATGTGTAAGTGCATTAAAACCAAATTTTTGGATGCAACCTACATCCTTTCTCAAGGTGTTGTGAACACTTTTCTGAACAAGTCTAGGAACTTGCATTTGTGTGTGTGGCAGGGTCTCGCGTGGCGGCCATCATTAGATGTTATGCTTATGCTCCCCAGGGACTCGCCAAGGGACGCCAAAAATTCAGATGAAAGCTCAATTGCCCTGGGTTCCGAGAACTGTGAGCAGGGTCCCACAGAAACATTATTCCTACTCTGAACACAAGGTCTGTGCTCATGAATTAATGAGATTAGTTAATTTAATTTCATTAAGAATAATTTTATGGTTGTGCATTAACATACATAACGATGTCTAATGGTGGACACCACATGAGGGACTCTGCTAGACGTACAAACTCAAGTTCCTAGAACCTTGTCCAGAACAGTGTTCACAGCACCTTGAGAAAGGATGTAGGTTGCATCCAAAAATTTAGTTTTAATACTTATATTGGGTCTTTCCTTCAGCTTCATTCAAGCACACAGCATTGTGTAGAGGACACAATATTGTGTCTACACAATATTTTTTATTGTGACTAAAATACATAAAATTCCTTAGTAGGCATGTTTATTTGTTGTATTTATTATATTCAATACATTTGGAACACCTATGGCCTGATATTGAGTTGAGGAATTTTATATATATATATATTATAATAAAAAAATACCAAAGCAATTTGCCATGGTTTTGTATATAAGAGCACACAAACAATTGTTTATTATGTATCTACACATTTCATAGCTATATATAGTCTTCTCTGGCTTGGTGCCTTCTTTTAATAATTACTTGTATAACTCTCTACACACATATTTAAGGCCAAACCATAGCTATGGTTTGTACATTAACATACAATGTTAAGTATTTTACTGTTTGATTTCTGTGATAGCCTGTGCTAATTGTTTATTGGTAGTTATTATTAAGAAAATACTGCACATTCACTCGTGTAAATACGGACACACTTCAGCATAATGCCTGTTATACCATTGAGAAGTGTAGGTTAACAATTTGTCACATGCATTAACCTAAAGCTGTATAGATACCACACTGACCATTTTTTGTTGGCAGTATTTGCTTGTGCAATAGATAAGTAGTCCTGTACAGTAATTTTGACACACATTGGGACTGGTATCATTGCTTTCATTTATATAATCATTAATAACAATTGAAAAAATTTGTTCTAGTATATAGTTCATTAACAAATCTTTGATTCCAGTTGTAGTGTGTGGTAATTGCATTATTTTTTTATTTAATGCAACACCATTCCAGCATTTAATTGTTCAGAGCTAAATAAATATTTGTGTACTGGTACTTTATATTCAGGTCTCAAAATATCATTTGCAATTCTAAAATATTTTATACACTAATATTCATAAATGCTTCATGCATTACTTTTTTTTTTTTTTTTTTTAGTGTGTTCTCAAGAGCCAGATTCTGTAACATGTTGTCAGGTTGTGATGTGTAAAGAAACAAATCTTGAGGGTGTGACAATTTATGATAACAAAATGGGCCCAAATTTAAAGGCAAGAAAGTTGTCTGATTATTATGTTATTTTGGCATAACTAGATCTTATGAGGAGAGATGTTTGTAAATGTATTTTCATGATACTATGTAATTATGTACATTTTTAATTTATTGATGTGCTGTTTAGGTTTACCATTGTAGATTATGTAGAGAATTATTCACAATAACGTAGCTAAAAAATGAATAACCCGACCCACACTTCAAAATAAAGGAAGCTGACAATATTTCAGCCTGTCCAAGACCCTTATTCATATGTGTAGGTTGGGTTATTGTAGATTGTCATTTGCATATTAGATTGGTTACTTTACATGCATTTCATATAGTAAATCTGGATTATACCAAGATATACAATGGGCTAGTTGAGCTTAACTTTACCATGACTCATGATGTGCAATATTTTGTGTAGCTAATTTAACTTTCATTGTCACTGACAAATAATTTACATGTTACAGGAAAAGCTCACTGTAAAAGAGCTTGAGATAGCAATTCAGGTAAATGTTTAGAGTAGGCCTACTTTAAGGCAAGTTGAAATGTTTTCTTATTTGCTTTTCTACTGATTATCTTGAATAAAACCTTTTGTGAGCTTTCACTTTCATCACAAAAAAACTATTTCTTTACTATTATTCTTTCATTGCAAATTTATTGTAAAAGTAAAAGTACACACTCCAATGATATGATCCTCCTTGTAAACTACATACAAGTAATGACGTGCATACAAGAATGATAAACACCGATATTTCACAACCAACATGCTTACCTTCCCTCAGCCTCCAATACTTTTAAAGCCATTAACAATACTGTACTGGCCATTAGGTGAACGCCAAACACTGTGTAAGCTTATAAATTATTGCTTGCATATTGAGAACAATATTTCCTGGTCCCATCGCTGTAAGATATCTGGTATAACTCTACTCAAACTTTCAACTTTTTTGTACATGTTCACTCTGGAAATTGTGGTTTCATTCACTACATGCAAACTTGTATTCATGTGTATTTGTAATGACCATGTCCAAGGTCCAGCTCAAACATTTTGTTTAACAAGTTATAAAAATTATTTATATACCTGTTGTATTGTTAATGCAATATGTATATAGGCATTTGCCCTTGCAGTTATCAAAATGACAGAATTTGAAGGAATTAATAAAATATAAAATGGGCAAAACCTAAGAATTACGAAACAGATTTCAGAGTAAAATATTATAATGCTATTTGCACACTTCTCATCGGTCATTAAATATCAGTACAGTATGAATAACTAAAAAGAGAAAACCATAAGTGGAAGAAAGGACATGCCACTACCGCAGTTGGGGCCAATTGGTTATTAAAAATACCATACTATAAGTTTTTTGTATACATGCTAAAGTTCTTAAGATCCAGAAATTACACTAGTGAAATAGTATAACCAGTAAACCAGAATATTAAGCAAACATTTTATGCGTTGCTGATTGGAGTTCAGTGTCTGAAAATATGAAATATTAAATGTTGCAAGTTAATGCTTCAAATTAAATTGGAGGAAAAAACTCTAAAATATAATATGAACTTGAAGCTTTCACTGCATATTTTTGGCTATTGACATTTTAGTTAACCTTCAGTGATTTCTGAATGTCTCGATGTTCATGCATGATAATAGACGGCACTGTATGAGCTGTCATGGTAACTTGCTAATAGCACTTTAGAAGTAATTGTTTTACTTGAATCATGAACTCTTGTAAGGTGTCTTTACCATTTAATATTGTGCCAAATTATAAGGTACAGGAACAGTACATCTAATCTGTTGTTGTAAAGGTTTTTATCTATGTATATTTTACACACCAAGAGTAACATATACAAATTGATTAATTATCTAATGCTCCAGTTTTAAAAATTATGGCTGAAATTAGTTTTAATTTTATGAAAATAGTTTTCCAGTATTGTAATGGTGTGTACGGATCAATGCAAGATTAATAATGTCATGGTGCCATACAGGTTTGGCAATTTTTAATTTAAATTTTATAATGACATGAACATAGCTAAAATAATGTTTCCCAATTTTTGTTATGGGATGCAAAGGTAAAGTGCAGTGCTTTGCACATTCAAATTTTTAGTTCATAAGATCGGTGGTCATTTATTGTGATATACAGCACTGAGTATTTACCTGTTCCAAATTCTGACAACTCTGAATTTTGTTAACCGTTTACTTTTACAATTACTGTACATATTTCCAATTCTAGATTCAAACAAATATTGCCAATAAGAATTTTGAACACAGGTAGTACTAAATTGTCTTCCAGGCTTGGTGCCTTTGAATAATTATTCTATTATTTTCAACAACACACACACACTTACTGTACTATGTAGCTTTCCAATTCCTTAACATCACTTAGTGTATTAATAGCATAAATGTTAATCTTTATTACTTGTAATGGCAGAATTCTGTTAACTGTGCTCTTGGTGATAACTTTCTTACTACTGAGTTAAGTGCCTTAAAACTAACTATTTCTTCCTTCATAGTTGCCAAATTTTTTTTACTCTATTCAGCATTTTTTACCAAATGCTTTATATTGATAGCAAGGTAAAGTGGTTTATGAGGGATTATTTATTATACCTATTTAATGCAGTGTTAAATTTATGTATAAGTATTTGATGTATCAAATACAATTTGCCTGGAGAGATTGACTGGTTTAAAGTCAGAAAATGGCTCTGGTATCTAAATATTTTCACTAAAGACGTACATTTTTTTATTTGTTTCAGTAACCTTTCGTAGTTCAGCACTATACTGTAATTCTAAGTGGTCAAACAACAAGAACAGCATAACTTTGTATACAAAGTAATTATAAAAAGGTATATGACAATTGGTGTTTTTGGGAAGAGTGGCCCAGCTATATTGGTGTTGCCTCTGATGATTCTGCAGATGCTGCTGCTCAGGAAGCAAGTCATACCTGTTCCATCTTCTAGATGCTCATTCCTTACTTGGATCTCAAGTCATTCACAATCTGCTACTGCCTGAAATCCAGATGGTTATCTACCACAAACTTAAAAAAATACATAATAAAATTTGACCTACACGGGAACCTTGGTTGACGAAAGCCCCTCTTTACCAAAATACTACCTAAAAATTTGTAAACAATTTCCTCGTAAAATTTGACCATATGAAATTTGCCTCGGTTGTAGAGTGTTGATACGTACATGTGTGAGTCGATGAGCACGTGGTTCTGCTGGGCGCAGGGGTGAGGTGCACTCTGTTTATCACTATCCTGCCTAGTAATGACCACGCTTGAATTATGTGAAGAATTTAATTTTGTTTTTTGTTTCCGAATATAAAAGTTCTTAATATACATCACGCCATGGGTCCCAAGAAAGTTGGTGGTAAAGTTCAATCTAGGAAAATAGTTGATGACAGTAGAGGAAAAACAAGAGGTCATTCATAGTGAATGAATGATGTCTCGCTACATAAAAGTGTTAAAGCGTAAGGAAAAAAACAAGTGTCTTTAGAGAGATTTTTGACAAGACAAGCAAGCAGCGAGTCACAACCAGGTCCTAGTGGTATGGCTCCAAAACAGAGTGTACACAAGAAAGGTCATCAATCCATGATGTTATAATGGAAGGGGACTCCCCTTCCAAACACTAACACCTTTCCTCTCCATCTTCCATGCACAAACAAGAGTCCTCAAAGGTAAGGTACCTATGAGTAATATTCTGTATAAAATGTATTTTTAAGTTAATCTGTTCCACATACCAAAAAATATTAATTCAATTTACATTATTTCTTATGGGAAAATGTTTCGGTTTTAAAGTTTTCGGTATATGAACAGTCTCTTGGAACAGATTAAATTTGTGATTTGTAAGTGGAGTGGTCACTATTTCCTTCCATCACCGATTAGGAAGTGGGAAAACAAATTTGATGAGGTCACGTATCAGCCTACACAAGACTTATTGTGGGTACTTAACACTTTCGCTGCCTGATGCCACAGCACAGCGATGACAAAACCAAACCTGCCTTTTCACCTATAAAGTCATAAAACCTATGGAACCACCTACCCAAAGAAGCCATAAATGCTAAGACATTACAGCACAGTACTTCAGTTTAAAATCAAGATAAAAAAAAATCAGAAATAATGGGAGGGACCTTTGACAATCCACTGGCTTCCTGTCATTGTCAAGTTCACTGTGGAGATGATGGCCCTTGGGTAAATTGAAATAAATGCTGCCTTTGTTTTTTGACACTGCATAGGAGAGTGCCTGTTAATAGGGGACTAAGTTGGCTTTAGTTTTCTTGCATAACTTGTTACACAATGAACCATTACTACTACTACTATTATACCTGCATATCATGTCTCGTAATCCTTGTAGATTACTTAAAGGATTAAAAAATTATATTTAACAAAATTACCAATATATTTAAAGATATTGCATATTACAGTATAAGTTGATATGTTATAACTTTTCAGCAACAATCATAGAGATACTAAAACAGCACACATTTCTGAATCTCATAATACAAAATTCCAATAAAGTTCTGTTAAATTAATAAAATATCACTAAATATTGATCTAGTATATATTGGTACATCAAATAAATTTATCCATGATGATTAAGGAAAAGAATATTATTTGAAATATACGGCACTTCAGTTAAACTAAAATGCATTCCCCATTTTAGAATACAGTATTAGCAAACTCTGCATTGGCATTTAATACGGGTACTTGCACAAGTCACTACACTACATTACGGTATGTGGTAATCATCTGTCTAAAGTGACAACAGCTGCAGTGTTGTCTGTGGGCAATAGTACACTGTGTTTACTCAAACATTTCACCAACATTGCTCGATGACGGTTATTGGACAAATCCAAGCAAATAACAAATATACTGTATTGTAAATGCAAATCTTAAGGTGGAAACTCTGGAATTTGAAGATACTGGTCGAGGACCAGGCCACGGGGACGCTAAGCCCCGAAATCATCAAGATAACCTCAAGATACTGTATATAACAGTTCATTTAATATAAATACCTTATATCTACATATAGTATTATTTACTTGGATCTACCTACTACAGGTATGATTTCACAAGAATCGCATACAGTATTTACATCCTTGTTACAGCTTATAAATATACAAACTTGCATTATTTAACTGAAAATTGCAAAATAAAACCTAGTACTTGACATCATCATGAATAATTATTTTTAAGGAAAAATATTATATAAAATGCTGTATTATGAAAATACTATACACAATATCACATACTAATTTTGTACAGTTCTGTATATACATTTCAATTATTTCTTTCAAAAAATGTAGCTTTTACCGTGATTTTAAATACAGTAATGGTTTAAATACTAAAGAAAAACCTAAAACCTTATTCAAATAGACAAAATATTCAATAAATACAGTCACAGTTTCTATATTTAGAAAACATTAGTTATGTGAAGATATATTAAGGAAATTAATTTAAAATATTTTGTCCACATTTCAGTTTGTAGTATAACAAATTATCTTCATGAAAATGATGCTATTGTCTTAGAGTCCAGTGAGCCATTCCTCTATATAGTACAAGATTATGATTGTTAAAATACTTTAAATTATACAGTTGAGTACTGTACATATGTATACAGTATTCAGTACTGTACATGTCTTATTACGTATGCATTAAGGAATACAGTATAAAAATAAATAAAAAATAAATTTAAAAATTTATAAATGTCAAAATTTCTGCCGAGGAAATTTTGTGCATTGTTTTAACTGCAACCTCTGTTGGTTCCAGTGAGATTGGTTTGCAACAGTTTTGTACTGAAGAATGACGAATCATTTTATTTCGTGTACAAGACATGAGAGGCAATTCAGGCTGTATTATACTGTACTTTATTACCGGTGTACTTTGAATAATACCAAATCAATTTACTCAATATCATGGATTATTGACCAGTTTGTCATAATTGCAGTAAGCACTGTAATAGTTAATGTATTGTTTTTTATGCAATAGTTTACTGTAACTTAAAAGTATCTTTTGGAAAACTGTTGATGGCTGATATTTGTTCTCTTACTAGAATTCTGTAAAAATTTGGACATTCAAGTACTACTGGCATTTCAATGACTAATGAAGTTCATCAAACATATGAAAACATTTTCAATATAAAAGCTATTAATTATTTAAGAGCACCAAATGCAAATTATACACAGTACAAGTAGTATAAAAATAATTATATAAAATATACAACATATACATTAATTACCAAATTGTGTTGGTGATTCAGGAACAAGGCACATGAAAGAGGATCTCCATAACAATTCCAAAAACTGGTTACCATGGGCAGGAGTTAGTTGACTATGCTGGGAGGAATGATTGTAAGCCATAGAAAAAAAATTATAATAGCTTTAACTATGTCCATATTTATAAAAAGAGCAGATTGAAAATATGGATGTTACCACAGTACTGTACAATGAAAATGTGAAAGTGAAACAAGGAAGCAAGTAATCAGACTACAGTATTATAATACAGTTCTGTATACTAAAAATGCTTAACAAAATTGGCCTATATACAGGTACCCTTAAACAGTGAGATTGACAATTACTGTACAGGTACAGCATGAACGTTGAATCTTAGCATGACAAAGTCATCATTTAAATTTTAAGGTACTGGTACATATGCTGTAAATAATAATCTTGTTATTAATACTAAAATTAAATAATTTTCCTAGCAAAAATTGCATGCAGTACTATGCTACCAGAATAAATCTTGAATTTACATGCTTATAGTATTCCAAGAAAACTTTAGTAGGCATTGCAGAAGTGTTGTTTGAGTCATTAATTGCACATGATAGAAATGATTAGAAATATGATTAAATGATAAAAGAATGATTACTATACAGTAATCATTTATAAGCCTTCTGTATTACAATTTACAAATATTCTTTCAGTTCATGCTTAGCGAGTCTGACCAATTTTATCTAATTCATAAATATTATAAACTATATACAGTACTGTACTGTGCATGAATAAAGAGACTGACTGCCTGGTTCTATTAAATTTTAAATTTGTACTGAAAGACTAAAGTGTGCTCACAACCTCCCTGCCACCAGCCAGCCAACCAGCCTCCAGCCTTGCCAGTTCTAGGACGCTGCTGCCACCTTGAGTTTAGACATTAGTAAAAACTGTAAGTAGGCACTCTGAAGGGGACGGTGGCGGGCCAGGTGAAGAAGTGCCTCTTCTGTGCTGAACCATTGTCTCCGACGACCTATGAGAACCAATTCAGAATTTTATATTTTTGAAAATTTAAAAATTATTCAGTTGAAATAAATCTTGTCGTTGTACATATTAGAATTTATCTATTAATTAAGTTTTACAAGAATTGTTTAAACTTTTGTAAACATAAAAAAGAATTACTATTCAGAAACTTGAAACAGTATACTGGCTCTTTAGCTGTATAGTATCTACAACAAAATTAAATGGCTCTGAAAATTTTATCTAATATTCATTATTTCAAAACATTTCTCATTTCTTCTGTCTCACCCAGACTCGCTTCTGGAAAATCGGCATGTTCCTCAGTGACTATGAAGATGTACACGGCTGTCCGGTGCTTCTTGACTCCCGAATGATGAAACGACTGGCAGATAAACACACATTAATTCTCATACTGTAAATTAAGCATTTACGTGTTTGGAACTTCAAGAGTTAGGCATATTGGGGTTTTATTTATTTTATAAATACACATACATACATGCATACATACATACATTACACACACACACACACACACACACACACACACACACACACACACACACACACACGAGTTCTTGCATTCTTGTAAAGCCACTAGCACACAGCGTTTCGGGCAAGTCCTTAATCCTAATTTTCCCCAGAATACGACTCGTCAAATCGTTTAACAACCAGGTACCCATTTTCTGCCGAGTGAACAGAGGCTACAGTTAAAGGCCAGATTCACGAAAGCACTTACACAAGCACTTACGAACGTGTACATCTTTCCTCAATCTTTGACGGCTTTGGTTACATTTATTAAACATTTTACAAGCATGAAAACTTGCCAGTCAACTGTTGTTATTGTTATAAACAGCCTCCTGGTGCTTCGGAGCTCATTAACTGTTTAATAATTGTAAACAAAGCCGCCAAAGATTGAGAAAAGATGTAAAGGTTCGCAAGTGCTGGCGTAAGTGCTTTCGTGAATCTGGCCCAAGGATTGGCCCCCCCAGTCAATTCTTCACGGCCAGGATACAATCCCAGGCCAAAGCACAGGAAATTTTTATAATTTCTTCTATCCCCTTTTAATTGATTTCAAAAGCACAAAAGAAACACGAATGCAACTGTGAGGCATGCGAGTTAAGACTTCTAAAAATAGACATGGCGTTATGTAATAAAGCTGGCCTAAATATTGTCTCAGTTTTTTAACCGGCGGTTTGATTTTTAAACCATTTGTATGCACATTGTACGTTTCTAAGTAATAAAAATATTCTGCAATAAATTTGTATTAAATGAATTCAATAACTTGTGGTGTGTAGTCCTCATGACAACACAAATATGCACAAATATGACCCTCGGGGGGACCCTCAGTTTGACATTCCTGTGGCCTACTCTTTCTTCCAACACAGGCTGAGTGACTGGGTGGTGGTGCTTACCTCAAAGAGCCCAAGATAGCGAGCGATGTGCCCCAGGATGCCAGCCTCCTCCCATGCTTCCCGTTTAGCTGCCGATACAGCGTCCTCCCCGGCCTCCAGACCTCCTCCTGGCACAAGCCACACACACGGGTCCTTTTTACTGGACACCAGCAACACCTGCAACAGCATTAACAGCTTAACTACGCCTGCTAACACACCAGTAACACTAACGCATACAAACACATTTTAACAGGAATCGACAAAATTGATAAACCCTAGAAAACCTGCAACTCTGAAAACAATTAGAGGGCATATATTTGGAGCAAGTACATTAATATAGAGAAAGTATATTATATAGCTAAAGCTAAGGAAACAAAGCTGCCGAAAAAATAGGAAGTCCAATGTTTGCAAACATAAGAACTTTCCATGTTTGTCCATATGTTCCAACCGTCTACGTTGGAACAAGTGGGTGGTCTATGCCAAAACCTTCAGTAGTTTCAAAGCGTCATATGAGAGATTACGACGGGACACCACGAGCATAGCTCATACTTTAAATATATTGGGCGATTACACACGCATGCAGCCGAGTGGTTGGCATCACTAACAGCACTACTGAGATCCAGGTTTGATTCCGAATCCCTGGATAGCGAGTGCAAGTGCCTAAGGGTAGTTCAAGTTTGTTTACTGAGACAAGAAAATACATCTCAAAGGGATAGAGTAGTTTAGGTTATTTCTACCCCCTCTACTTCAAGCCCCTAAGGGGGCGCACAAATCCACAAATCACAGTACAAGAATCACATTTAAATTTGCAGGTTACTACAGTAAGCACAGCACATAAGTGACACTTTTTGGGTACAATGCTTGTAGCGCCTAAGTATTCTGTCATACCATTATCACACATTCCAAACAATTTGATGTGGTACACTACTTATTTCTATAGTTATCAATTAGTTGACACTAATGCATAATGTTCTAAGGTGTGGGCGTGCGGCATACTACATAATTTTCACTCCTTTTTACTGACGTCAGCACCGTATTGCCAGATATATTTGTATCCTACTTTTTATCTCATGTAAATTGAATCCTTCCAAGTAGACTTTCCTCTACTATCTTCTTGAGGTTATCTTGAGAGGATTTCGGGGCTTAGCGTCCCCGCGGCCCGGTCCTCGACCAGGCCTCCTTTTAGTTACACACCCCGCAGGAAGCAGCCCGTAGCAGCTGACTAACTCCCAGGTACCTATTTACTGCTAAGTAACAGGGGTATCAGGGTGAAAGAAACGTTTTTGCCTAATTGTCTCCGCCTCCACCGGGGATCGAACCCAAGACTACGAATCCGAAGCACTATCCACCCAGCTGTCAGGCATCCTACCATACAATGGGTAGTTAAAGATGCGAGATACGCTCGTGGAATTTCATCTTCCCAATAATTCATCTGTCATATGACGCTTTATGACTATATATGACGCTTTGAAACCACCCCTCCCATCTCCCCTGTGTGGGCGTGTACTTCCCTAGTTGTGCTTGCGGGGGTTGAGCTTTGGCTCTTTGGCCCCGCCTATCATCTGTCAATCAACTGGTGGGTGGATGGGATATACGAGTGAGTGAGTGTGTGTGTGTGTGTGTGTGTGTGTGTGTGTGTGTGTGTGTGTGTGTGTGTGTGTGTGTGTGTGTGTGTGTGTGTGTGTGTGTGTGTGTGTGTGTGTGTGAGTGAGTGAGTGAGTGAGTGAGTGTGTGTGTGTGTGTGTGTGTGAGTGTGAGTGAGTGAGTGTTTTACCAGTGTATTGCATGCGGCCTTCACGCGAACACACCCAAAAAGTTCGCTCACGATCAACGTCGTATCCTGTATACTGAACCCGGACTTCTGAAAATGCGTGGGGTTCCGCGCCCATTTTCCCAAGGGGTTTCGTGAATTTGTACTTGCTGCTTTTGAGGATTCAAATAAAAAAAATGTAGTTATTCCTGCAGATTCAGAAATTTTTGTATATACACTGTAGATTAAAAAATATTCTTACAGAAAGCAGTTCTCTAAATTGTTTAAAATGTGACCCATTTGAAAAAAAACATATGAACTGTATAAAATTAATGTACGTCAAATTTAACTAAACGCGAAAACAAAAGTTGTGTGCGCGCGAACCCAGGAAAGGCATAGAAATAAAAGCAATTGCATTAACTAACCAAAATTTGTAAGGCAGGACTTTCAAATTCTCGACCCTGCAAGCATATTATTGCCCGAAACGCTTTGCGTAATAGTGGCTTTAGGCACTGTATGTACTAGCTCTATCTATAATTCCATCAACGTTTTGTATCTCGCCTTTTATATATGTACTTTACCTGAATAAATATTTGAATTTGAATTATTCGAGCACATCTGGATGAGCATGCATCTACAATGCTATACTGACGTGTGCTCTATAGCGCATTAAGCACAATGCGCTTATTTAACAGATAGATGTCTATCAGTAAATCGGTAGGAAAACGAAAAGTTTATTGAGGTAAAATACACACAAAGGGGTGAGGTAGCTAAAATCAGTAGGTGTTTAGCCCACCTGCAAAAGACGCCAGATGTACGCACGTAGTAAGAGACTCGGGTAAATAAGAGTAACTTTTTGCCAGATTGGCTGCTGCCCTCTAATTGTCGGTTCAGGTAAAACTGTCAAATAATTAACGGAGACAGAGATATAGCTAATAAGCAAGTGTAAATAACTGGCTGTCACCGCACGGCGTCCGGGGTGCGCAGGCCAGGCTGTCACCGCACAGCGTCCGGGGGGTGCGCAGGCCAGGCTGTCACCGCACAGCGTCCGGGGGGTGCGCAGGCCAGGCTGTCACCGCACAGCGTCCGGGGGGTGCGCAGGCCAGGCTGTCACCGCACAGCGTCCGGGGGGTGCGCAGGCCAGGCTGTCACCGCACAGCGTCCGGGGGGTGCGCAGGCCAGGCTGTCACCGCACGGCGTCCGGGGGGTGCGCAGGCCAGGCTGTCACCGCACGGCGTCCGGGGGGTGCGCAGGCCAGGCTGTCACCGCACGGCGTCCGGGGGGTGCGCAGGCCAGGCTGTCACCGCACGGCGTCCGGGGGGTGCGCAGGCCAGGCTGTCAGCGCACAGCGTCCGGGGGGTGCGCAGGCCAGGCTGTCAGCGCACAGCGTCCGGGGGGTGCGCAGGCCAGGCTGTCAGCGCACAGCGTCCGGGGGGTGCGCAGGCCAGGCTGTCAGCGCACAGCGTCCGGGGGGTGCGCAGGCCAGGCTGTCACCGCACAGCGTCCGGGGGGGTGCGCAGGCCAGGCTGTCACCGCACAGCGTCCGGGGGGTGCGCAGGCCAGGCTGTCACCGCACAGCGTCCGGGGGGTGCGCAGGCCAGGCTGTCACCGCACAGCGTCCGGGGGGTGCGCAGGCCAGGCTGTCACCGCACAGCGTCCGGGGGGTGCGCAGGCCAGACTGTCATCACTTCTCAAGCAGAATAAAAAAAAAAAAACTTTGGCGAGTCATAATTTGTTTCCCTAGTAAATTTATAGGTTAAAAAATATATATTTGAGAAAATGATTCAAATAATGGTATAACTCTTGTGAATTTAAAACTAGTCAAGTTAAAATCCACGTGTAAAGATTTATGGAGCCTCTGTAAAGGTGATCGAGATGATATAATCATCCATGCTACACTAAAGGATAGGCCAAGGGCATCTTTGAGCCTTAAGAGCAGAGTCGTCGTAAGCAGAGGAACTACACTTTGTATCCATACGTCCGTCTCCTCAATAACCCCCGTTTCCTTCCCCATACACCTTCCTCGTCCATTACCCTCCTCTTTCCTTCCCTAAACACGGCAAGGTGCTACCCATGACCATCCATGCAAGGCGCAGGCACGCGCGCACGCATGTAAGCGTACTGAAGCTGGAGAGCGTTGTAATTCCACCACAAAACGGATGCAATTATCAAAGCGAGAGACAAAAGAATAAATAAACAAGCTCACTAAATAGGTAACAATACAATACAATACAATTTTATTTAGGTAAGGTACATACATACAATAAATATTTACAAGGATTGTTTGACTTATAGGTAGAGCTAGTACATACAATGCCTAAAGCCACTATTACGCAAAGCGTTTCGGGCATAAATGCGAAGCGCGATCCCAAATCTGTAAACATAAACACTAAACCACTCGAGCAAAGAGTACCTCCTCTGGAGTTCCAATTTGGCTAAGAGGCGAGACCTCTTAGTTCAGGTGAGGTGATTATCGTTTCCATAGAGCCCAGGCAGTCTTACAACTCGCCTCTTCCAGTTAACTATGCTTTTCTAGAATTTGCGGACGTGTTTGCTTATTAAATGGATGCAAATTTAGGTTAGAATATGATTGAACAAGTTGCAAGAGGGAAGATTTCTAGCCTAATACATAACATAGTTCAGGCTGCCAGGCACTACATTGTCTACAACGTTCCCCATCGTTAACCGTGTCTGATCACAAATGTCACTCATAGGAACCGCGGACTCTCATACAGTATGCCCATATTTTATATATATTTTGTTCCTTTCAGTGTCATACTGATACTAATCATGATTTATCAAGAGTTAACACAAAATCTTGTCTATATCAAATTCAAATCATAGGACCATTTAAATTAGTGTGCTCACGCAAGCAGGCATTCATATGCACACCCACTAACAGGGTAAACACCCAAGACACACGCGAGTGAGCACACACCCGTGCCTTCCTCACGACCTTCCTCACGAAGCGAAGGGCATCAAGTTTTTGTTGACCCCCGTCAAGAAGGCTGGCCGGGATATGCTCTCTCTTCCCAGGTGCCCGGTGATCTGCTTCCCCCTCCCCTCACACACAATTCCCACACCCAAGGTTCACCCTGCCAATATCTACGCCCATATATTCGCACATACCCAACACCAATACCTCCCACAACCAAAGCCTTCCATCCCTCAAACCCTAGCCCCCAGAAAATGCATTTATTATCATTTGAAATTACAGTGGAACATGCACACTACTAACCACTGTCAGGGACAGGAAACCTGTCATCCAAAAACGATTGTACCTATAGATACACTATGGACGTAAAAATAAAATGGACTTGCATAAAAAAGTCTACATTTTGGAGAGGGCCCGAGAGTGCCACAACAAAACCTAACTTTTCTAGGCCTAGTATAGCACATGTCTACAAAGGTTGACCTTAGATTGCGC